TATATGATTCCTCTGGACCTTATTAAACAGTGGAGGGGTGTTTATATGCAGTTAGTACAGTGCAAGTGTACCTAGGACCTTTTTCATGATTACCTATGAGGCACTTCAGTAAGAATTTTCACAACAAACAAAACAAGCACGGCTATTGTTATTCTTCCCATTTTTTAGATAGGAAAAGTGAGGAGTAAAGAAAGTAAGTGATTTACCAAAGATTGCAGTTAAGTAGAGCTGGAATCATTTGGCACTTAGACTCCCAGTTCCATCTGTTTCCATTTCATTTTGCTGACTGAGCTGACTGCATGGATAGCAGAATGAATCATCAAGCTTCCAGCTTACCTCAGTATAATCAATGATAACCCCCACCTCTTTGTGAAGAAAAAATGTCAGACCAGTTTAATATTTGCTATGAGAAAATAAATAAGAGGCATTATTACTCATACCCTGAGTGATATCAATGCCTTTGAAATTCACTGACCAGGTGGAAAATGCATCACCAGAAAATGGAGTAACATGTAACTGGAGAAAATACAACAAAACAAAGCCCTAATTTTTATAAGCAGAGCATGGATGAGATGCTGGCAGGATGGAAAAGAAGATTCTGGGAAGGCCCTTCAGGGTCTGTAAAGTGAATATTTGCTTGTGATGTGAGTGTCTGTGGAAAAAAAAGGAAAAATGATGATACTCTAGTGTATTGGACACAGCATGACTTGTACAGCAAGCTAGGAAGTGATTCTTAATAGAGCAACGCCAGCAACTTCCTTTAGAGCATAGTGTCTAGTTCTGTCATTATAGTGGTAAAAGGTGAGAAATGTGGGAGCTTCTGAAGCATATCCATGGCATGATTAGCACACAGCATTCTGGAGGGAGAGTGAGGAGGAAGGAACTTGGAATAATTGCTTGCCAGAAAGTCAGGTAGGGGTCACTGGTAGTTGCCTGTGGTATAAGCCGCATGTTCCTTTGATGTCAACACCATGTGTCAGCCTGGGTCTTTTGGAAATATAAAATATTTCTGCTCTCTAGCTCTCTACTTCATTACATCTAGCAGATGTTGCTTTATGTTTTTGAACCCAATTTGCAGAATGAAGATGGTATCATATAACATACTACTAAAAACAGAAAAAAGGAAACCAGTGAACTGGCCTCTTAGCAGAACAGTTTTAAGGTGGTCCAGACTTTTAGCCATTGGCTGTCTGAAGTACAAAAGTAGAAAATATTCTATGAAGAAAAAAAGTCAAACAACATGTTCATTGATGTATCCTAAAAGAATGTTCACTTACATTTTTAGACAAATTAAAAAATACATGGCAGGTTGACCAAGGAGGGTAGTCTATTACTGAATGACTGCCTCTTGGCCACTCCTCATCCCCTCATATTTAAAAATGATAATGTGTTCTTGCAGTATTTACCAGTGATCAAAAAAAAAAAAAGAAAAAAATACGGAAGAAAAAGAAAATTCCTCCTTTCCATGACTCAGTATTTTTAGGTTGTCACAAACCTATTCAGCTTCCGAATCTTATTAAAGTCAAAATATTGAGTCAATTCATCAGCACTAAGCTATTCGATTTTTGCTTTATGCGTGTTTAGAAAGCAAGGCTTGATATAGATGGTGTATTTATGTAACAATGGTGTTACTCAATGACCTTGCATTTTTCTGCACATGCTATCTTAATGGAAATTTACTGGAAAATTCTTGCCAGAATAAACACATTCCTTCAGGACTGAAAGGCTTAATGTACTTCTAGTTCAACTGTACCTTTTTCCCGTGAGCAGATAAACCAAATTACTTGGCATTAGTCATTATACGTCACAAAGTTTACAGTACTTATTGTGGTCTCACGGGGGTAAGAGTTAAAGGAGACAGAGGTAAGGTGGTCCATTTTACACTGTGAGAGAGAAAACAAAACCATAAGGTGTCTGTAATATTTTATATGCAATATGAAAAAATGAATCAGGCAGGCATCTGTAAATTAACTTTAGCTATTGTGGTAAGGCAGAATTAAAGAATATGAACCATATAAATAAGTTGAGTTGCTGAACCAGAAATTTAAAAATACATATTTTTTAAGAGAGGGATGACTTTCTCATTTACATGTTAATTAAATAATCAGGAATGAAAACTCTACAAGAAAAACACTGGCTATTTAGTGACCATTGGAGCCGGATATGGGGACCCAGGTGGAATACAGAGATGTAAACAGGATGACTCAGGCCACGGAGGGAGGAAGTACCCCTTGAATTAAGGGATGAAGGAGGCAAACAATGAACAATGGAGATCTAAGGAAAGAGATTCACAAACATGTCTAGACTTTATGCTTGTTGGCCCCTGTCCTAATTCCCACCCATCACCACCCCAAGGTTGCTACTGGGGAGAGATTATAGTGATTGTTTATTCATGCATGCAACCAGCATTAATAAAGTTTGTAATCAAGGCAGGAAGAATCATCCTTAAAGGAATAAAACTGGCTTATTAGCATATTAAAGCTAAGTGCTCAGTTACACAGCATTTATTTGCAGCAATAGGCAGGCAATTAAGTTCCTTGACTTTTCCTAACAAACCAGTTGGAATTAAGCTGCTAGACAGATTTGCCTAGAGTTTATGACCCTCTCCCTTATGTACTGTTAAAATCCTACTATTATTATTTTTGAGACAGAGTCTTGCTCTTTCGCCCAGGCTGGAGTGCAGTGGCATGATCTCGGCTCACTGCAACCTCCACCTCCTGGGTTCGAGTGATTCTCCTGCCTTAGCATCCAAAGTAGCTGGGATTACAGGCGCCCGCCACCACGCCTGGCTAATTTTTTGTATTTTTAGTAAAGACGGGGTTTCACTATGCTGGTCAGGCTGGTCTTGAACTCCTTACTTCATGATCCACCAGCCTTGGCCTCCTAAAGTGCTGGGATTAGAGCCGTGAGCCATTGCACCTAAAATCCTACTATTTTAAACAATTTTGGGAAAGGCTAGTTTAAATGTGAATGGTCACACGCTATTAAATAGTTTTGTTGTAATTTTAAAATTATTTTCAGTATGTACGGTAAGTACAACCAATCTGGCAAACAAAGAATTGGAAAAAATTGGAAGTCCTTCTTGGGAGAAGCAATCTGAAAATTAGAATAGCAAAACAGTTGTTCAACTATTGTTCTCACTCAAATTGCATTCTTTAAAAAAAAAAATTATTGTTGTATTAGTCCATTCTCACGCTGCTAATAAAGACATACCCAAGACTGGGTAATTTATAAAGCAAAGAGGTTTAATTGACTCACAGTTCAGCATGGCTGGGGAAGCCTCAGGAAACTTATAATCGTGACGGAAAGGGAAGCAAATACGTCCTTCTTCACATGTTGGCAACAAGGAGAAATAATGAGCATAAAGGGGAAAAGCCCTTTATGAAACCAGCAGATGCCGTGACAACTCACAATATGAGAATAGCAGGAAGGTAAATGTGCCATGATTCAATTACCTCCCAGTGGGTCCCTCCCAGGACACATGGGCTTATGTGTACTACAGTTCAGGATGAGATTTGGTGGGGACATAGCCAAACAGTATCAATTGTATATGAAGGAAAGGCATCAAAGCTGAAAAAATTCTTCTTTTAATTAATCAATTGTGGTTTTCTCTATAAATAATAATAAAACAAAAATTTAATACTGGTTTTTTAAAAGGTTTTTATTATGAGTTCCTTTAATTCAATTTTAGAAGTAGGTGAGGTGAATTATAACAAAAAATACAGTTTACATGAAGTTACACAAATACTCTCATTTATTCAATTTATTCTTCATAAATAGTAGAAATGTTTGAGGTAATTTTAAGCTATTCAGAATTGCTAATAAATGAGTTTTTACCACATTATGGAATTTTTAATACAGATAAATCATGGGTCCACTTATAAAAAAAGATTAGAAATTGCTTTCTACAGTACAGTATAACAGCAAACTCAAATCATCCTATTTCTATTTTGATTTCAAAAATATAATGGAAATTCAAATACTACTTCATTGGTTGAATATATTTGCTGTATAAAAGTTGACTAAGTTTGTGTTTATCATGTATGAATATAAATGATAAACACAAAAATTATATAAAGTTCATTCCCAATTAATAGTCTGTAATCAAGATTTAACATGTTGTTTTGTAAAAACCAAGTTTCAGCTTTAAGCGAGTCTTAGGGCTGGGTGTGTTGGCTCATGCCTTTAATCTCAGTGCTTTGGGAAGTTGAGGTGGGAGGATCACTTGAGGCCAGGAGTTTCAGACCAACCTGGGCAACACAGCAAGACTATATTTCTGGGAAAAAAAAAAGTTAACTGGGCAAGATAGTATGCACCTGTAGTAGTAGCTACTCAGGAGACTGAGGTGGGAGGATCACTTGAGCCCAGCAGTTTGGGATTAGAGTGAGCTATGGTCACACTGGTGCAATCCAACCTTGGCAGCAGAGTAAAGCCTTGTCTCTAAAAATATATATTTGAAAAGTAAGTCTTCATTTAATGTAAATGGAAAAAAAATGTACCGTGTTTCTCTTTGTACTTCACCACACTTTTCTGTGGAGTATGAAACTGGTTATTTTACAAGCATATTATAATCAGTAGCACTCCAGAATAAAGAGTTTCAAAATATATATCCCTTTGGTTTTATTAAGGAAAACTTAAGGAGTTAACAAATTCTCCAGGTTATTGCTGTGTTACTTTAGAAATTATATTACTTCCTTTTGTACTAAAATGAACCATGTGTTCTTTTGAATTTGCAGTGGCAGATATGGTCAATACACTATGAACCAGGAAAGTACCACCACCAAAGTTATAGAGAAGCCTCCATTTGATCGATCAAGTTCCCAGGATTCTTTGGATGAACTGTCTATGGAAGACTATTGGATAGAACTAGAAAACATCAAGAGATCTAGTGAAAACAGACAAGAAGCTCAAGAGGTGGTTGTCGTCAAAGAGCCTGATGGTAATAACTAACAAATAAAGCTTTTGTCGTTTGTATATGGATTCATAGGAAATGAATGCATAGAAAGGAAGAGAATAAGAACAATTAAAGATAGGACCACCGAAAACAGATTCTGCCTTTCAACTTGAAAATTACTTGTTTGAGGCAGATTTATGGATGCAGCTGCCAGATACAACGGGCATGAGTAAGCTTAGTCATAGACGTGGCTTTAATGTTGATGGCTAAGCTCACTGTATCATAGCTTTTTAGAGTTAGACTTCATCTTTGAAACCATCTAACCTCCCTTTAAATTTCTTCTGTAATGTGGTAACCACATTGTCATTTGGTCTCTAGTGAGTGCAGGTGGCTATAGAAAGAGCACTACTTGGCAGTGATACTGTTTTTCCAGTGGTCAGTCAGCTTGAGTTTTTTTGGTCTTTGTTTTACTGATTTACAATCTACAGTCCTCTAACTTTGACTCTCTTGCTGTAGTTATGCCTTTGGGAGAACAGAACAAGGCTCTTCTATTTTTACATGATAGCCTTTCCTATATTTGAGGACACTTATTTTGTTCCTAGCCAGGACCTTTATGGAAAGAAAATTCACATCAATCAATCCTTGTGGGTGGTTTTCAAAGACCTGTTGTGGGCCCGGCTATTTTGTCATTCAAAGTATAGTTCACCAGATTGGATGCAATGGCCCGGGTTTAGCCAACTAGCCTAAAAATATAGACTTGAACAGTAGATGGTGGCATTAGCATTTTAAGCTTCCATATTTACTTCTTTCTCATATTTGGTACATAATTTCTGTAGAGTCACTTTCCCGCCATATTTCCCATTCTCTGCTATGATACTTGATATTCTGGGAGAAACATGTAAAACTTAAACATTTTTTTGTACTGTTTCTTTTAATTTCTGAAAGTCAAGCAGTTACCATGTTTTTCATGTCCATTTCTCGTCTGTGGTATTAGCTTTCTTTCCATGCCCCGTGCCATCTATAAATTTGTAAGTACGTTTGTATAAGTTGTTATGTAAATGCCAAAACGTGAGGGCCCCAGTCAGTGCCTTGTGATCCACTAATAGATATTTCATTCTCAACACAATGACTTCTTAACTAAATGACTTAGGATCCAATTAAGTAGCAAAATCTATATAAATAAGATTTTTCTCCTTGGCTACAACATTGCTTGAAAAATCTACCAACACTAATTTAAAAAGAACTTGGAGATTTTCCTTAATTTGATTTCTTAGATCTAAAAGAACACTACAGTTAACTCATTCTTTAGTTTCTCGTTTATTTTTCTCTCATTGTTTCCCAAATATGTTACTGGTGAAGTTAAGCTTATTTGTAGCAATTAATAGTTCATACATTTGAGGATACATATCTTGTTCTTAGCCAGGACTTTCTAGAAAGAAAATTTACATAAACTAATCCTTGTGAGTGGTTTCTTTTTTCTTTTTTCTCACCCTTTCTTTCTTCGTGTTTCAAGATGGAAGTATCACACTAGTCTGCTGAATAAGGAGAAAATGTGTTTGAGAAAGCAGCTTTTAAGCCTGATACATAGAAGTATGTCATTATCTGTTTGATAATTCTCCGACGTTAAATTAGTTTCATTGATTTTTATGCACTATGTGATCATCAAGAAGACTGGGAATGTTTTTTACATGCCCACACCTTTTCTTAGACTTTAAGTTGTTTAAGTTTTACCTCTACTTTTTAATGGAAAAAGTGACTCTACATAGTAATCTTGTTCATTTTCCTTGTTGTGTAACAATATCAGCTTTTTTTCTGCAGTTTGGTTTTATACACCAATACTGAGTTCTACCTTAACAGCATAAATAATAATGGCTGACTTACTTTTTTTTTTTTTTTTTTTTTGAGATAGAGTCTTGCTCTATTACCCAGGCTGGAATGCAGTGGTACAATCTCAGTTCACTGCAACCTCCACCTCCTGGGCTAAAGCGATTCTCTTGCTTTAGCCTCCCTAGTAGCTGTGATTATAGGCCTGCGGCACCACACCCAGCTAATTTTTGTATTTTTAGTAGAAATGGGGTTTCACCATGTTGGTCAAGCTGGTCTTGAACTCCTGACCTCAAATGATCCACCCACCTTGGCCTCCCAAAGTGCTGGGATTACAGGCCTGAGCTACCATGCCCAGCCTTGGTGACTTACTTTTTATGCTAGTAAACTGTTTTAGTTGTCTGATGTGCAGAATGCCTTGCACTGGCTTATGTCTCTTGAATCCAAAGTTATTAATACTTGATTTCTGCCCTCAAGAAGTTTATATAGTATAGAAAGACAGATAGGCAGGACTAGGGTCTATACCATGTGATATAGTCTATCTTAGGGCTTCTCAAAGCTCCTCCCATGTAACATTCTCACCTGTAGTTATGGCATAGCTGGAAGAGGTGTGCTTTAATATACAGATTAGAAAACAGAGTGAACTTGAGGCCAAGTGACTTGTCCAAAGAGACTTGGCTATCAAGGTGCAGAAATGGGGTACAGACTCAGGTCTTTTGTGCCCAATTCATTGCTCTTTTATTTTCCACTATAAACATGATGACTGGAAATAATCCATTCTAATTATCTCTGCTTTTAAATAACGTTCGTTAGATCTTACACAATATTTACAGGCATGTGAACGTTTACTTCCTGCTTTCAGTGTTTTGAATTGATTGTTATTTAATTAGCTTCCTATATAAGCTTTTTATGCTGAATATATTGTGCTTTAAAAAATTGTAAAATAACATAATCCAATGTGCTGACTTGGAAGATTAGAAAAATTAATTTGAAAATGATTAGTTCCCAATGTTCTGATGCTGTTAACTGCTTTGCTGCACTCCCTGTCAGCTACAGTGAATAGGGAAAACAAGTCTTTCCATAAATTAGTGTTGGACTCTGAGGTAGTAGTGAATTTAAGCCAAAAAACTGGGCTTCATGTACAGCCCCAGCATTGACTTCTTTCTTTAACTTGATGGAAGTAAGTTATCTTTTCATTCCTTGCTCATCTCTGGAAGGGGAACAGCATCATCCTCTGGGTTAATCTGCAGGGAAGTTATAGAGGTTAATTACATGTGAAGTCATTTAAAAATTTTAATTGAGTATACATGAAATTGATCTAAAATTTGATATCGTTGTGGCTGGAGTGTGTGGCAGTTGTCCAAGTTTTAGATAATGATTCTTAGCACTATGGTTCGGTCACAATAGAAGAGTTTTAGTGAGAATTTTTAACAGCTTAAAAAATGTAAAGGTTCTTATATATTGTGATTTAAATACCACTTTTCTCTACTGTCTTAGAGGGAGAATTGGAAGAAGAGTGGCTTAAAGAGGCCGGTTTGTCCAATCTCTTCGGAGAGTCTGCTGGAGACCCACAGGAAAGCATGGTGTTTTTATCAACACTGACCCGGACCCAGGCAGCGGCAGTTCAGAAACGAGTAGAGATGGTCTCCCAGACCTTGAGGAAAAGAAACAAACAACACCAGATTCCTGACGTCAGAGACATATTTGCTCAACAGAGAGAATCAAAAGAAACAGTAGGTTTTCTTTTTTGATGTTAAGGCAAAGGAATAATTGCTTACAATCAATTGGATCAGTCTGGTTTAATTCAAATTATTAAAAATGTGTGATTACCTATTCTATGCCAGGCACCAAAGCTCTATGCTTGCAGGGAACAAGAGAGACTTGCTTCCTGCCTTTCTGGAAATTATACTCATGGGGCAGAAAACCAAGCTAATTAAAATTCAGCTTGATAATCCATGCATTAGGGGAAGAGGGTGCCCTTGGAGCATTAGAAGTCACTCTGACTCCACTAGGGGTGACAAAGACAGCTTCTCAGACAACATGACTACCAATTGTTATTTAGAGAAAAGTAGGAGCAGGATATTCTTCCCTATCTATTAATGCTTGCAGGAATATTTGACTTTTCCCTAGACTCATTTGGGGATGGATGGTGTAGAGTGTGAGGGAGCTAATTGCAGCTGAATTACACAGTAGGAACCTTGAGATATGAAGTAACTTCTTCTTTGTGGTGTTGAAGAAAGATCTTAGACAAATTTAATTTAATAGAGTTTAACTGAGCAAAGAATAATTTGCAAATCGGGCCGCCCCCCAGCCCCCTGTCACAGCAGATTCAGAGACTCCAGTGCTACTGTGTGGTCGAAGAAGATTTATGGACAGGAAAAGGAAAGTGATCTACAGAAAATGGAAGTGTGGTACAGAGACAGCTGGATTGGTTACAGCTTTGTGTTTGCCTTATTTGAATATGATTTGAACAGTTGGCCACCTTTGATTGCCCAAAATTTGGTGATTGACACAAGAGTAGGTTACAGCCTGTTTACACATCCAGTTAGGTTAGAGTTCACCAAAGACAAAGAAATCCTTTAGGATGAATGAAGGAGGCAGCTTTAGGTTAAGCTTTAAGGTGTCTAGCCTTAGCACAAGTGACAGCACACAAAAGATGGAGTAAATATTTGTCTAGATGATTAACTTATTAATGAAAGCTGTGGGATCTGGTAGAGACTGTGGGACTGATGAATGAAGAGAGGTATCAGGGAAGGCATGATGAAAGTTTGACAGGTTGGGGGGGTGGCTCACAGCTGTTACCCCAGCACTTCGGGAGGCTGAGGCTGGAGAGTTTGAGATCAGCCCAGGCAACATAGCGAAACCCAGTCTCTATAAAAAGCTCAAGAATTAGCTGGGTGTGGTGGTGTGTTCCTGTAGACCCAGTTGTTTGGGGGCGCTGAGGCCAGAGGATTGCTTGAGCCCAGAAGGTTGAGGCTGCAGTGAGCTGTGTTTGTGCCACTGCACTCCAGGCTAGGTGACAAAGCGAGACCCCATCTCAAACGACAACAGCAACAGACAGTACAAGAACTGTGTGGTTTACATCAGCGCTTCTGAATAGCCTGATGGTGGATTACCTATTACTCATCTGTAAGGGCATAAGGAGCTTGCACAGAATATAAATGATCCTTCTTTGTTTCATGGAAAAAGTCTCGTTGTCAGAAAGAAGAAAATCAGCTGATCTAGATGATGTTCTTGAGGTCAAAGTTGATTTACATTCTGGCCTGAGTAGCTCTGGCCTAGAAGACCCAGTGAGGTGGTTGGACTGGGAATGAACATGGAATGGGACTCTTGAACAACGATTGTAATAATACCAGTTGCTGCCACCATTGCTAAACACTTACTGTGCTAACCACTTTATGCACTTTATCGCTTAATCCTTACAGCTGTCCTGTGAGTGAGGTATTAGCATTTCCATTTTATGACTGAGCCTCATAGATTTTATTTTTTATTTTTGGAGATGCAGTCTTTCTCTGTCACCCAGGCTGGAGTGCAGTGACACAATCTCAACTCATTGCAACCCCAGCCTCCCAGGTTCAAGCAATTCTCCTGCCTCACTCAGCCTTCCGAGTAGCGGGGACTACAGGCTCATGCCACCATGCTCGGCTAATTTTTTGTATTTTTAGTAGAGATGGGGTCTTACCATGTTGACCAGGCTGGTCTTGAACTCCTGATCTCAGGTGATCTGCCTGCCTCAGCCTCCCAAAGCGCTGGATTACAGGTGTGAGCCACTGCGCCTGGCCAGATTTTAAGTAACTTGCTCAGTGTCCTGTAGATAGTAAACCCAAATTTGTTTGACTTTGAAGTACATGCTTTTAACCACTCTCTATCCTGGTACATTTGCATTTTGTACATGATTCTGACATTAAGCATCCTAAATCTGAGATTCTATTTACAATATAAATAAAAAATAAGAAAAATTTTATGATTATTTATTTAGAAAGAGGAATAGAAGTGTTTGTATTTAAGGTATCTTCCTGTCATATAGATACTTTTTTTGTCTTTTGTAGACATTTTATTCTTGCAAGAAATCCCTTCTAGCTGCAGATTCCTACTCTATTTGCATGACCAATTTCAGATGAAGTCCAGTCCATTTTACAGGAATTTTGGGGTCCTTAAATTGCTCCAGGCACTTGCTTAAGTTAAGCACTTGCTTACCATCCCGTGGTTATTTGGGATATCCATACTCGTGTTAAAGGACAGAACTAGGTTTCCAGCTGCAGAAAAATGATTGGTAAGGAAATTTAGTATTATGACATTTTCCTCCCAATTAGAGAACCCTCACTAAGGGAGTTAAGAGGAAGTGAAAAGGGGGAGGAAACAGAGAGCTGAGGCTAAGCAAAATATAAATTTCAGGATTTCTGCCAGTCTCCAAGAGGATGTTGCTACTCGGTGCTAGAAACAACATTTTCCAGCAAGTTTCTGGCAGTGTCTGAACCACATGGTTTGAGTCCAAGGTAATTGGTGGATTGTATCATCTGATGGAGTCATTAAGAGAGAACTAGCAAAAGGAAATTAAAATAATGTTAACTTGCTTCCAGTGTGTGCCTTTAATTGAAACACTACCACCCATTAGAAAAGTGCTTTATCTCCCCCATCCCTTGTGCAAACTTGGGCCAACCATCTTCACTTGCAGTTCTTCTGTTTTTGAGTGAGTATATATTCAGCTCTTCCATGTTAAATGCTTCCTCATGAAGGCCTTGCTGACACTAGGAAATATAATACAGAAATGAACACCATCTGTACTGCCATCTTCAATTGCTAAGGAAAATAATTCCAACCACATGCTCCAAAATATGTGTTCTTTTGTGAGATTGGAATCACTCACTGTGTTCACTGTGCCATGGAAGGCCAGCCTCTGCAGGCTTGTGGGAGGAGGGACGGAGGATGGGCCTGCTGTGTCCTTCAGGGGATTAAAGTGATGCTGGACACTCACATACCACTTCTGTGACTTGGTAGTCACTGTAACGGTCCTGGGCCTTCCCTGTCTCTAAGTGGTGCATTAATGGCCTATATGTCCCTAGCTGAGAGCTTTTCTAGGCTCTTTTTAGACTTCAGTACTAAGTACCAGATCAGCTGGGGAGACCCCCACCGAGGTGGCCTGAAGGCAGTGAGAGGCAGACACCCACACAGAACAGCAAAGTGGGTCTATCCAGGGGGCCAAAAGCCTACTGAGCTGAGAGTCTCAGGGGCTGACAGCATTCCAGGCTGGAGTCCCCGAGCAGATTCCGATCCACATATTTATTCTCTCTGAGCAGGTGACTATTATTAACAAATAGGTGTTCTGTGCTTTCCCATAACTCAGAAATATACCCAGTAGGCAGCTATTACCTGCTCACCATTGATTACAGAAAAACTAAAGTATTCTCCACCAGGGAGTCATGGGGTCAGGGTAAACAATATTTCTCAACACAGGAGGATGAAGTCCTTCTTGGACAACAGCTTGAGGTGAAATGTGTGGTGAGACTATAATGGCCATTTTCTGTCTCTTGAGATAAAATCCAGTAGAATTATCAATATTATTTTAAAAATAATTCGAATAGACCTCTTTCTGCGGTTGATCCACACACTCCTTCTTGATCTCTGAATTTCTTCTGAAGCCTTACCAAGAAAGGAGGAAGTACTGACTGGCCACTTTAACTGCTGAGTGGAGTCAGCTGTGGTTTACTATGTCCATAAGCCTTCGGAAGGCTCCATTCCTTGGGGGTCACTGCCCTGACCCCTTGAAAACAGGAGTTCCTTCAGATGTTTTAGCTCTTATTGCTGTTTTGGTAATTTAGTTATTTATCTCACATTTATTTCTTGCTTTGTTTTTTACATGAAGACTTTCTATTTTATTAGAGACATGTACTTTTATAGTTTTGTAACAGCATGATTGAGATATAATTCACATACTATACAATTCACCCACTTAAAGTACACAATTCAATGGTTTTTTTTTTTTTTAGCATATTCACCATTGTGCAACCATCACCACCATCACTTTTAGCATATTTTTATTATCTCCAAAAGAAAGCCTGTGTCCATTAGCAGTTATTCTCCATATTTCTCTCCCTACTCTTAGGTGACCGCATGTCCGTTTTGTGTCTCTATGGTTTGCATATTATGGTCATTTGCTATCAGTGAAATCATATAATATGCGGCTCTTCGTGACTGGTTTCTTTCACTTAGTGCAATGTTTTCAAGGTTTATTTATGTTGCAGCATATATCAATACTTCATTTCTTTTTATAGCCAAATAACATTCCATTGTACAGATAGACCAAATTTTGCTTATCCATTCATCAACTAATAGATACTACTAATTTTTTAACATGTTTGTCTTTTCTCCTCCACTAAATAGTGGCATTCTTGATGACAGGAACACACTCAGATCTTTTTTCATGTTTCCCACTGGGTCTGCTATGGTCTCTTACAAGTTGTACGTAATCAAATATTTTTTGGATGACTGCTTGTTGATTATTACCTTAGTATCTTTTTTCCACCGTGATTATTATAATTCTGAGTACATTTCTTGTACTCTAAAGATTAGTAACAGAATTATTTACAATACTGTTTTCTCTGGTTTTGAGTTGGTGATGACTAAATGGCCTGTTTTCTATGTTTAGGCTCCAGGTGGCACTGAATTGCAGTCACTTAGAACAAATGAAAACAAATACCAAGGAAGAGATGGTATGTTGAACCTGTTTTTTTCTTTTTTTTTTTTCCCCTCTCTTTAATTAGTATAACAAACAGTTACAGTCTTACACTCACCTTCAATTCTAGTAAGCAAATTATATTAAAATGCTAATGTAGGGTCCCAAGTGGATCATTACATGAGGCTGAGCTTATAGTTGACCTTCAATTTTTTAAAATGTGTATCCCTATCTTCTGATTCAAAATGCATGTATGTATCTTCCTGAATGCTTATCATGTGCCAGATGCTATCGGGAGATGTTTACTTCATTTAATACACTAAAAAACGATGTAATGGTTATTGTTCTTATTAACCCATTTTACAGATGAGTGAACTGAGGCTTAGAGATGTGAAGCCACTTTCCAATGTTACACAACTAGTTACTGAGGCAGCAAACTTGCAACATTGTTCTTAAGTCACAAGCTCCTAATTCGTAAATGGGGTAACTTTTTAGATACTGTAGAAAAACTTTTAAAAATAGTTAAGATTGTTATGGGCAATTGATTACAATTTTCCTTTTTCTTTTCTTTCTCTGCTAACGTTTGGTATTCCAGAAATGAATTAGAAATTCGAGGTATGGAAGAAAGTAACTTTTTTTTTTTTTTGAGGTAGAATCTTGCTTTGTTGCCCAGGCTGGAGTGCAGTGGCGTGGTCTTGGCTCACTGCAAGCTCTGCTTCCCTGGTTCAAGTGATTCTTCTCCCTCAGCCTCCCCAGTAGCTGGGATTACAGGCATGTGCCACCATGCCCAGCTATTTTTTTTTTTTAATCTCTAGTAGAGACAGGGTTTTGCCATGTTGGCCAGGCTGATCTCGAACTCCTGACCTCAAACGATCCGCCTGCCTCAGCCTCCTAAAGTGTGATTACAGGTGTGAGCCACCATGCCCTGCCCAAAGTAACTATTAAGACCTTGTTAATACTAAGGAAGAATTTATGGCTATTTCGTTTGTTTACCAAAAGGAAAAATATTCTAAATGAAGTCAATAGATTTAAACTTAAAAATGTAGTCCTTAATTGCTGTTTAACAAACAAAAACAAAGGTGATCTATGTTTATGTTCCTAAAATTTAGCAACTGGTGTCCCTGTCATTAATAGTGTTGCATTTGGTTTGGAAGTAGTAGGGGAAGGGGTATTAGGTAAACTGTGGAGGACTGAGGAGTGTTCCCAACGTTCCTATAAAAATCCTACATTATTCAAGATCACATGGGACATTTTCCTTCCACACTTTTCTCAGAACTTCTCTCTCGCACCCCTGCCTTAAAGATAATACGCACGCACGTGTATATACACATATATATTTATAAAAGCACTTGCTTTTTACTGTTTTGTGGATGTTTCTCCAGTTATGTATGTTACATCTAAATGAAATCACTAGGTGTTTTCTTAAATCTATGTGCCCACAGATGTTGCAGTGGCAAGCAAGCTGGCATAGCTACCCTGCCTGCTAGAGAGCTGGGTCGCCAGGAGAGACAGACGGGTTTTTTGTGCTAATGTCAATATGCTTTGGGCTCTGGGGAAGAGTGACTGGCAGTTGGTGAACGGATACTGAGGAAAACATGGTCCTTTTCTTGGTGTTTTCCTCCCTTGCCAGGGGTCATGATGTAGGCTATAGCAACAAAAGTTCTGGAAGACAAGTTCATAGTGTGAGCACTTTCCTGCCTAGCTTGCAGCAGGCAAGTGAAATGTGACAAACTTGCTGCTTGATTTACATCTGCTTTTGCTGGAATGCTACGGAGTGGGAATAGAGCCTCCGATCAGAATAACAAGAGAATGTGTAATGCCATCCAAGTCACTGAGTAGTTCCTATTGCACCTGTTCTGGGCAGCGCCTTGCTGTTTCACTAGCCAGTGAATTAACCAGCATAAGCCAAACATTGGAAAATTGAGGATGAAATGCATGGAAACATTGTTTCAGGTTCAAAAGTGGGGCTGTTTCTGATTAAAATTTGAAGGCATGGATGACATAGTCTCTTGTGAATGCTTTCCCCACACTTGGGTTTTTAAACGTATTCCGCCAATGATACTTATTTTAAATGAAAAAGTTGCTAAGTTGTATACTTGCAAGGGTTGTCACATTTCAAATTCATTAATCCACTCCAATGTGTTCATTTTTCATTAAATCATAAATTCTATGAAATATATTTAGAAATATTAATAATGCCCCAATAATTTTTAAAACTTTTGTATTGATATGTGGTTTCTTATTTTCTTTGGGGTTTCCACAGAGGAATGAAAAAATCTTTTTTAAAATAGAAGCAATTGAATCTTAAAGTCAGGTGGTTAAAAAATTTTTAAAGGCATTTCAGGATATTTTGGACAACTGAAAAACTTGAGGAGTTTTGCAAAATGTTTGTAACTCAGTGCTATTGTGCACTTAAAAAGAGACTAGATAACAGAAGTGTTATTTATTTTAGAACCTTAAGAGCCAAAAGGTTGATTTAAACATTCTGTTCTTGTTAAGAGTGGATAATTAAATCATCATTTATTAGCCAAGTAATCATCCATTTCTTGTAGCAGCACCCCCCTTTAGCCCCCAAACTGCTTTTTTTTCTGTGCTCTGCCTCAACTTGATTTTCTATTTTAGCCAGAACTTTTATGTGCGGTATTTTTTTTTTTTTTGCCATGCTTCTGAAGGAAATTTGTGTGTTAAATGTATACTACCTTAATTATAATTACTCGGCTTTACATTCCGCAGAGTCTGTTGGTGTGGGTGTGAGTGTGGGGGTATTTATTACAGCCCTGATGTGGAGGTGCTGAGAAGAAAGAGTAGTTTCTGAATTCTTGCCCACAACCACTCAGCTGCTGGAAAGGTAGCTTCTAATTTAGGAAAATGGCTAATCATTTTTTTCCTCTTAGAATGGTTTCCTAGGAAACCAATGTACACAGTCACAGTAAAACATAAAAGAGTATAAACCAGAGGGAAAATAAAATTAATATTGTGCTTTCACATTCATGTTGATACTTTAAAAAATTAATCATCAAAAGGTGTAAGTATTCTAATTTAAAAAACAGACTGTTGAGAAACATAAATGTACATGGTAGCAGATGAATACTAGTAATATCAATGGTCTTTAAATGTATTCTTAGTTTTGGAATTAGCACAGGTCAATTCTTACTTTCTTAACTGTGAGATGCCATCAGGACCAGCTATGTAATTTGCAAGGTCAGGGACAAACTGAAAATATAGGGCCTCTTATTTACATTTCATGATGTAACAGCAGAGCATTAAACTAAGTGTGGGACCCTCCTGAGCTTGGAGCCCTTTGTGGCTGCACGGGTCTCATGCCCACAAAGTTTACCCTGCTTAGTGAATGGGACTGAGTAAGACTCGATTCATATTTACTTCTAAACTTGTTTTGATTAAATTAGGCGATCCTCTCACCTCAGCCTCCCAAAGTCTTGGGTTTACAGGGATGATCCCTATCTCTCTCCCTCTCTCTCTTTCCCACTTCTTTCACCCTTTCCCTCTATCCCTTCCTCTCTCACTATTTTTCCTTCCGCCCTCCCCATTAATTTATTGAAGAAACTTGGTTATTAACTTGTGGAGAGTTTCCCCCCTCTGACTATTCCCCTGGTGTAGTTTAACATGTTCTTTTGTGTCTCATAAATTAGTTGACTTTAAATTGATGATCAGATTCAGTTTCACTTTTTTTTTGGTGGTCAAGACTGATGATATGTGATTGTGTGTTTTCTCTTGAGAAGCTCATATATCTGTTTGTCTTTCTTTTTTTTGGTCAGTGTAGCAGCTGCTGCTGATTAATACCTGGATCTATTAGTTTATTAACGGTTACAAAATTAAAATGGTTTAAATTCATTTTGAATGTAAACGAATATAAACATTATTTTTCTGAATTGCAGACTTTCAATAATATATGTAATTATGACATTTATCTATTAAATTTTTAAATTAACTTTAGCTTCCATCACTTTGTTGTGTTCGCATGTGAGCCTGTTAGTATGTAAGCATGTGTATACACTGCATTTTGTAATTCATAGCCTTTTACTATGATTCAAAGGTCTACAGTGAGAAAATATCAGTTATCTTGGTTATTGGCTCTAGGTTTTTTCTAATGTCAGTTGCATTAAGACCAAAAGTTTACAAAATAGTCAAATTTAGAAGTATTTTCTCCAAAGCTTAAATCAGGTGTTTTCAGCAAAGAGGTTTTTAAATGTTAATTCCTCTCTGGAAGATTAACAAAAAACCATAAATGCCAAAACAAAGTTAAACTGATTATATCCTTGAAATCTTTATGTAAATATGTGAAAATGATTTGACTGTATTTATAGTTGTAGGAGCTCTTATACTCTTTGACATAATCAAGTGCAAACCCAACCATTCCCGTGCCAGGTACGTCCAGACCCGACTTGCATAGTGATAATTTTTTGGCACTAACTCTTGTTTTGGAATTTTTACTATGATAGATAGGTAATATTCCAGAAAGGAAATGTAGGGTGTGGAAGAAGTTTATTCCAAGAATCTGATCCACTCTGAGTAAATTAATTAAATGCTAAATTACTAGCTTTACAAGAGATTACTGCTCATCACCTCCCCCTTCTTTTGCTTTTAGTTTCTCTGTGTAGAACAAAACAACAATTAGGACTTCAAAACCTTTTGAGGTTTTTCATTAGAAGTTTATTATCTTTCAGCAATGTTTTGGAATTGGAACCCAGTTTTAGGATTGTGATCTCAAAGATTGCACAGTTGAACTATAGATTGCTAGCCACCGCCATCTCCCTGCCCACTTCCCATGTAGGATCCATAGGATTCTTGAGTACACTCCTTATTATTAAAGTAACAGCTAAGTATTGCCTAGAGAACATAGTACTCCTCCCAAATGTTTTTATGTAGTGAATGCATTCGAATTTTTTTTTTTTTTTTTTTTTTGAGACGGAGTTTCGCTCTTGTTGCCCAGGCTGGAGTGCAATGGCGCGATCTCGGCTCACCGCAACCTCCGCCTCCCGGGTTCAGGCAATTCTCCTGCCTCAGCCTCCTGAGTAGCTGGGATTACAGGCATGCGCCACCATGCCCAGCTGATTTTTTGTATTTTTAGTAGAGACGGGGTTTCATCATGTTGACCAGGCTGGTCTCGATCTCTTGACCTCGTGATCCACCCGCCTCGGCCTCCCAAAGTGCTGGGATTACAGGCTTGAGCCACCGCGCCCGGCCTCGAATTTTTTAAAAAAAAGAAAGAAAGAAGTAAAGCATATTAATTGGGTTCTTTTCTCCCTGCTTTTCTCCCTGCCCCCCAGACCAGGCATCTAACCTTGTTGTTGGTGAAAAGAAGCCGATCCTACCTGAGGAGACACCTGCCTCTGAAACAGACATCAACCTGGAGGTATCATTTGCGGAGCAAGCACTCAATCAGAAAGAGAGCTCCAAGGAGAAAATCCAGAAGAGCAAAGGCAATGATGCCACGTCACCTGTACGTCGTACACTGTTTATAAATATTCAGATATGTACACATATACATATACATCTATACACACACACACATACACATATACATATATATATATACACACACACACGCACACATACAGAGGGAGACAGAGAGAGAGAGACGAGGTCTCACTGTGTTGCGCAGGCATAACTCAAATTCCTGGGCTCCAGCAATCCTCTCACCTCAGCCTCCCAAAGTCTTGGGATTACAGGGACGATCCACCACACCTGGCCCAGAATATATTTTTCATCAACTTTTTATTTTAAAAATGTAGAACCCACAGAAAAGTTGAAAGAATAGTATGGCAAACACCATATGGTTTTCATAGATCAATTCAACAGTTATTAACATTTTATAACCTCTTTTTCTTTTCTATGTCTATCTACATGTATGCTCTAACTTTTGTTTTTAGTTTAACAAGGACATAGAAAACAACACAATTATAATACTTAAGAAAGTTAAACTGACGTGATAATTATATTTAATATATGGTTGTATCAAAATTTCCCCAGTTGTCACAATATTATTCTTTATAGCTTCTCCCTTTTCCACTGCCGTTTGAGTTTCAAACATGGGTCATATACTCTATTTGTTTTCATGTTTATTTGGTTTTCTTGAATCTATGTCAATCTCCTGCTTTTTTTCAATATTAATGAAGAGTCCAAGTCAGTTTTCTGATTGTTCCTTCAGGACTGGATTCAACTTAAAGATTTTTAGCCACATTTACTGCTTGGACAACGTTTATACCTTTAATTGCATCATCAGAAGAGGTGCATGGTATCCGATGGTCTCTTTATTGGTGATAGAAGTTTGATCACCAACTTGTCTAAGGAGAGATGTTCACTAGATCTCCCCCTTGTAAAAATATACCTTTCCTATGTGCAGTTAATAATAATTTGCCATCCTTGAGACTGGGCACATTTCCTATATGTCAATAAAGCCTATTGCCCAGTGGTTTCACCATCCATTTTTAACTTTGCCTGAAACAATAACTGGTGCTTGAGAAATGGTTATTTTAAAATTCTATTATTCCTTCTACACTTATTGGCTGACAGTCTTCCATAATTGCTCCTTCACTTTCTAGCACAAGATGTTCCAGGCTCTCGTTGTAATTTTCTTCCCGCAGACTTGAAAGCATCCATGTCTTCAAGAAGCTCTGGTACTTTTTAGCAGTGAATTGTATTTAGAAACCAAGCTCTGTGCAGTGAATGTTCTCATTGCTACTGAATGTCTTGTATTTTCTAGAAAGTGCATTTATTTATGTAGAATTTCACACAGGCAAGAAGTTAAAAAGAATGGCATTCTGAACCCCCAAATACTCAGCACTCAGCCCCAACATTCATTAACCCATGGCCAATCCTGACCTATCCATACCCCCACCCACTTCCCTATTCTGTGTTATTTTGAAATACATCTCTGAATTCTATTTTATCATCTCTATTCCTAAAAGGGAAAGAGGGGATCTTAAAACTCATAACCATATAACTATTATTTTACCAAAAATGCTAACAATTTTTAATTTCAAACATCTAATCGGTGTTCAGATTTCAAATTGGATCACATAATTTTATGATCTTTTTGTACAGTTTGAGCCAGGATCCAAATAAGGCTCTTGTATTGCAATTAATAGATAAATCTTTTAAGAATTTTAAAATCTCCTCCATTTCTTTCTCTCTCCCTCTCTCTCTTTCCCGATACTTTCTCCCTTTCCCTCTAGCCCTTCCTCTCTCTATTTTTCCTTCCTTCCTCCCCATTAATTTATTGAAGAAAGCTGGTTATTAAGTTGTGGAGAGTTTCCCCCTCTGACTATTCCCCTGGTGTAGTTTAACATGTTCTTTTGTTTCTTATAAATTAGTTGACTTTAAATTGATGATCAGATTCAGTTTCACTTTTTTTTTTTTGGTGGGGGGTGGGTCAAGACTACGTCTGAGGTGTGATTGTGTGTTTTCTGTTGAGAAGCTCATATATCTGTCTTTTTTTGTCAATATAGTAGCTGCTGCTACTATATTAATACCTGAATTAATACCTGAATACATTAGTTTATTAACGGTTACAAAATTATGATCTAATATGTTCTTCTTTCTATTTGTTTGAGAACAACTTTCTCAAAGTGGTCGTTTTTACCTTTTATTGGTTTTCAGAAATTGTTGGCTTACTAGCATTTTTTACCTGTGACCAATTATTGTTTTAATTTGCTTGGTAAAAAGTAGTCTTAACTCATGGACTTATATATATTTATAAAAAATAGTCTTAACTGGTGGATTTACACGTATTTGACATGACCCTAGACTAGATTTTACAGGCTTGTCTGGTGTATTTTCTCTTCCAGACCTAGATTGATTTGTTTCTGAAGGAAACCCTGATTCCGTTTAATAGAAATAGACTTTGTGACTATGCTCAGGGCACTAGGAGTGTTCATTTCTTTGAGTTGGCCATTACTTTTGCGCCTTTTCAGAGGACAGAGGTACATCACTATCTTCTGTCTTCCATGCTGAGAATTGCAGATCTCAGGAAATGGCAGATGACATATTTAGAATATCACGTAATTACATGTTTGCTTTATCCTACATAATGCACAGCATTCTCAGAATATGCTAATACTACCATCAGCAATATGACCACTAGAAATGGTTTAAACTTGTTTTTCTTTTTTTTTTTGCATGTGTGTGTGTGTTGGGGGTACATTGTAAAAGGGACTTTATACAGTAAAATTACTGTGCTTTAGGTTGCATAGGATTCTTATTCCTTGTATGGTTAAGCCATCAACTGCATACCTACTTTGGTTAATTTGCTTTATTTTCAATTTTTAGAGATTGCTTTTTTTGAAATTAAATTTTGGTTTACAAGTATGTAAAATGTACAGTCCAACAATGAAGCTGAAAAACAACATGTATTAAAAGTCTAGCTTTTCTCCTTCTGCTACCAACGTATTCAATCCCCTCTCTTAGAGGCAAACTTTCTTTCCTTTTAATATCATGATTTATCCTTTTGTTCATACGTAAACGGTAGCTTGCTATTCAGTTTCTTCCACCTTGATTTTTGTTTTGTTGACTTAGTGGTATATTCTGGAAATCATACCAAAGTAGCATAGAGGAATATTTCTCACTTCTTTTTTATTAGATACATTCTACTCCATTGTATGGATGTATTATAATTTATTGAATCAGTTGTGGACATCTGAATTATTTGTAGGCGTGTGTGTGTGTGTGTGTGTGTGTGTCTGTGTGTGTGTATTTTATTTTTAAAATTGAGTTTCAGTCTTGTCACCCAGGCTGGAATGCAATGGCATGATCTCACTCACTGCAACCTCCGCCTCCTGGGTACAAGCAATTATCCTGCCTCAGCCTCCCATGTAGCTGGGATTATAGGTGCCCACCACTGTGCCTGCTAATTTTGTATTTTTGGTAGAAATGGGGTTTTACCATGTTGGCCAGGCTCGTCTCAAACCCCTCTCTTCAAGTGATCCACCTGCTTTGGCCTCCCAAAGTGCTAGGGTTACAAGCATGAGCCACTGCGCCCAGCTTTCTTGTATATTTTTAAAAATCTGTGCTTATACCTAATGGGTAAAGTAAGAGTATGCAAATGTGGCCTGCCAGACTATCCTTAGGAAACGTATGTTTTCTTCCTTCTATTTTTTCTCGAGACGGAGTCTTGCTCTGTCACCCAGGCTGGAGTGCAATGGTATAATCTTGGCTCACTGCAACCTCCGCTTCCTGGGTTCAAGTGCTTCTCCTGCCTTAGCCTCCCGAGTAGCTGGGGTTACAGATGCATGCCACCACTCTGGCTAATTCTTAGTATTCTTAGTACAGATGGGGTTTCACCACGTGGTCCAGGCTGGTCTTGAATTCCTGACCTTGTGATCTGCCTGCCTCGGCCTCCCGAAGTGCTGGGAGTACAGGTGTAAGCCACTGAGCTTGGCCGAATAGTATGATTTTAGAGTGACAGTCTTCATCTTAAAATGTGGAAAGGTTTTATATTGAAGAACAGTAGAATCTAAACAAAATGAAGACGTTGGCTTTTAAGATGTAGACTCAAACAATGGAATGAAATATAACTAAGCTCCACTTGAGAGCTTTCAAAACAAAACTCCCTCTGCCACTTTCTTCTCTGTTTAGCCAATTTACGCTCACCTACCTTCTTGATTTTAATCATGTTGTGCCCCAAGTTTAAAATGACCTCTCCATTTCTACCCCTCTGTTGTTCCATATTTGCCAAGGAAACCTTTATCTATTCCTCAGAGACTAGTTCAAGATCAGTTTTCCTGTTAAGTCTTTCCTGATTGTGAACTTATTTATTAGACCAAATAAATATGTGAAATCACCTTTGATTTAGGCTGCATGCTTTAGACATTATGGTTAATCTGTCCATGTATTTGTTTATGCAAATATGCATATACTCTTCTATACAAACTTTTGTTTAGTTCATTTGTCTTCTAGAAGGTGTGGACTCATTGTAAAGTTTCTACAAGTCTTTCCCATGATTGAAGAAGTAAAGATTTGTATTCACTACTCTGAGGCAGGTGTCTAAACAGATAAAACCTTAAGTCCCATTTCTGTTCCATGCTCCCCTCCTTCTGTAAATAAGCAGTAGGCTTTATGTACTACATTGTTCTCTGTTGACCTCATTTCATATTGACTTCCTTTTCCTCACAGCATCGAGCAGTCTTTGTTAATTCTTTATGATCTCTCATAGTGGATTCAAATTTCTCTTCTTAAATTTGGAGATCAGGTTTTATAACCTTTAATTTGCTTTAGTTTGATAATGTAGCTACTTAGTGTATACACATTATATCTCAGAAATTATGCTCTGCAATTATTTTATTTATTAGATGACCTCGAGGAAGTAGAGATCCCTGTTTTTCATTCATGGAAACAGCTTAGAGAGGTAACTTGACATGCTGAGGCTTGACATTAATGACTATGCTTTTGAAGCCTTTCTCTTGCTTTCCAAGTCAAAGCTAGAACGATTCGATGAGTAAAAAATCAAGTTTATTATTAGTGACGCAGTGCCTAAGGGCCCATCATGCAAAACCTACAAAAGAGTGGCACAGCCAGGAAAAGCTACCTAGTTAATTTGTGGAAACATCTGGGAACCAATGACCTTATAAATTTTTTTTTTTGAAAATTTTTATTTTATTATTTTCTTTATTTTTTTGAGATGGAGTTGCATTTTTGTTACCCAGGCTGGAGTGCAATGGCTCGCCACAACCTCCACCTCCCAGGTTCAAGTGATTTTTCTGCCTCAGCCTCCTGAGTAACTAGAATTGCAGGCACCCACCACCACACTCGACTAGTTTTTGTATTTTTAGTAGAGACAGGGTTTCAGCATGTTGGTCAGGCTGGTCCCAAACTCCTGACCTTAGGCCATCCACCCACCTTGGCCTACCAAAGTGCTGGGCTTACAGGCATGAGCCACCATGCATGGCCTTATTCTTTTCTTTAAACACATTTTTCAAGAAGTAGAGATCTTTAATCTTGCTGAAATTTCACTGCTTTCTCTTAGCCAACAAACTGAACCATTCAGTCTATTAACTAAACAAAAAACGACAGGAATCTTCATAAATATTTAAAGCTGCTGCTATGAATTAAACATTGGGATAGAGAACTAACTCCTTCATTAAGCACAATGTTTAAATAAATAAATAAATAAGCTCATGACATATATCACTAGGTAAATCAAATGTTTGAATTAATCATATTTCAGGATTCTCTAAACATTTACCTTGGGTAATGCTTTGAACGACTGTATTACACGTGTCTGGCTTATTAGACCCAAAGCTACTGATTTTAATGTAAACATTCAGGACTTTTTTTTTAAAAAAAGGTAAATATGGTTGATTCAGCATTCAGAAAACAAAACAATTAGCAGAAATGTAGAGCCGAGCATGGGAAAAATGTGACGAGTTTTGCGTGACTGTTAAAAGGAAAACTCAGTACAAATCACAGAAAATCAGGGGAACACGAAGCCAGTGGCGCTTCACCTCACTGAGTTTGATTCTGTGCTCTCTTCCCTGTAGGATGTATGTCTTCATTCATTTAGCGGACCGTGACAAAGCACCCATCGTGTGCCAGGTCTATGGTATAACAGGGTTACAGAAGTGATTAGGAAGTAGCTCCTCTCCTTGAGGCGCTCCCAGTACCATATCAACACCTATCAACCTAGATATCTCCCTGCCTACTCCGGTGGATGGGGAAAATGGAGTAGAACAGAACGGTTACAAAACTTTGGATTTAGGAGAACTGAATTTGCATCTCATTACATCACTGGCTTTGTGGCCATGTTTAAGGCACTTAACTGAGTCTCCATTTCTTCACCTAGAAGATGCTGTAGTCATTCTTATCTTATTGGGACTTTTGCAGAATTAAATGAGGAACTCTTTTTCAGACAGGAGAATTATTATTGTCGTTTTTTTCTTACCTTGCCATGACACATAAGAATAAAGAAAGACCGTGTAATGTTGATATGATTTTAAAAACTCCATTAAAAATATAATATGTAATACTTTTGGAGTGCTATTTATAATTTGATCATCACCACAACTTATAGGTCAGGTTCAGTTGTTATTCTCATTTTACAGATGAGGAGGCTAAGGCACAGAAGGGGACATCGTTTGCCACAGGTCACATAGTAAGTGATGAAAACAGTAAGGGCTCCACTTTCTCGAACCCTGTGCAGTGCCCCATGGATGCCATCCTGCCCACTGCTGGAAATTTGCTTAGGCTCTCTCTTCAGTGATGTTCATTGCTGTTTATCTCATGTTCTCCTAGGAAAAAAATACGTAAAAACACTTAAGAAAGACACCTCTCCTCTTGCAGTGAACTTGAAGGCTCTCTCTTGGAATTGAGTTTGCTTAAAGGGAATTAGCTCCTCATTTACTAAAAGTCACAGGTTTTACAAATTGCTCTAGGAGAGTGACTGCAGCATTTTCATCTCACAACTCCTTTATACTCTGAAAAATTATTAAGGGCCTCAAAAAGCTTCTGTTTATGTGGCTTATACCTATGGACACTTACCATATCTGAAAATATAATTGAGAAATTGAAAAACTATAAATCCATTTAATATAACAGTGTTACAATTAACATAAATACCTTTTTCAAAATGGAAAATAGCTATATTTTCTTGAAAAAAAAGTAAGTGTATCATGGTTTTAATTTTAGCTAGTCTAATGTCTGGGTTTAGTTGAAGTCAGCTGGATTCTCCTATTTATGTTTGCATTCACTCTGCTGCAATAGCACTCATTTCCATCTGGAAAACTCCACTGTATACTCATGAGAGAATGAGAATGTGAAAGGCAAAATAATGTCTCACTAATTATTAAATTAGTTTTGGACTTTTTGTCCTAAGCAGAATTACTGCTTTAGGACATGTCTTTTGCCCTAGTATTTAGACAATGAAGTGTTAATGACATTTTGCAAAAAATAAAGCAAAGGGAATAAAATAGAGGCAGTTAAATTACCTAATCAGCAATTGACTTAAATGAAAAATTCAAAGGTAAATCCAAACTGTACGAGAATGATCAGTTTTAGTAATGGGTAAACACAATGGGACTATAATATGTATTAAATGCACACACTAGTGAAATTTGTCTTTTTATCTTGTGGTTTGTTTTCTTATGTTTAATGTGTTTAATATTAAAAGATGATATTTGAGAAAGATGATATCTCTACGTGCTTGTGATCATGAAGTAACATCTGAGTCCCAGCTTATTCAGCCGTGAAAGTAATATACGAATTGAATATCCCTAATCCAAAACTCCAAAATCCTAAATATTCCAAAATTCAAACCTTTTTGAGCACTGGCATGATGCCACAAGTGAAAAATCCTACACATAAGTCCTTAACACAAACTGAGTTTCATGCAAATTAGTTAAAATATTTTATAAAATTGCCCTCAGGCTATGTGTGTATAAAACATAAATAAATTTTGTGTTTAGACTTGGGACCCATCCCCAAGATGTCTCATTGTGTATCTAAAAATATTTCAAAATCTGAAATCCAAAGCTCCTCTGGTTTCAAGCATTTTGGATGAGGGATACTCAACCTGCAGTAGCAACCACATAAAAGTACTTGGGACGTGCTGGGCACTAAACCTCACCACAGCCCTCTGAACTCAGTGGTCAGTCCTCCTCCTCTTACTCCTTTTTGTTGCCATTTTCCTCCTTTCCCTCCCCTCCATCTCCCATTTTACAGAAAGAAAGGTTAAGCAGTTGCCCTAAGGCACACAACTAGTAAGTAGCTAGATGACTGGTGAGCTCTGAAGTCCATGATCTTCAATTCCCTGTGTCTTCTACACTTACCCCAATGCACTATAGACTTTCTGGACCAATCTTACTTGGTTTTTGTGACAATTAAAAAATACATAATTGTATGTGGAGGGTACTTGGCACATTCTAAGCATTTACTCATGGCTACTATTCTTCTTTCTCTTCCCCCTACCTGTCTTCCTCATGTCATCTTCCTCTGCTTTCCTCTTCACCCCTCCCCTTCTCCCCTTCCCCTTCTCCCCCTTCCATTTTCCTTCCCCCTTTCCCCTTCTTCCATTGCCTTCTCCCCTCCTCTTCCTCTCTCCCCCCTCCCCTGCTACCTCCCCTTACTTTTTCCCCTTCCCTTCTCCCTTCCCATTTTCCCCGCCCCTCTCCCCTCCGTCCTCTCCCTCTTACTTTTCCCTCTCCCTTTCTCTTCCCCCTTTCCCTCCCCCTTTCTCTTCCTCTCCCCCTTTCCTTTTCCTTTTCCCCCTCCCCATTCCCTTTCCCTCTCACCTTCTCCTTTCTCCTCCCTCTCCTTCCGCCATCTCCTTTCTTCTCCTCTTTCCCTGCCCCCCTCCTCTTTTCCTTCCACCTTCCCCTCTCCTCTTCCTCCCCTCTTCCTCCCCTTACCCCCTCTTTCTCCTCTTCCCCCTTCTCTCTCCTTCTCCCCTTCCCTTCCCCCTTCTCTCTCCTTCTCCCCTTCCCTTCCCCCTCTTCCCCCCCCCTTTCTTTACCTCCTCCTCTTTCCTTTTCCTCTCCTATTTCCCCCCTCCCCACTCTCTTTCCCCTTTCCTTTTCCCCTCCTCTTTCCCTTGCCCCTCGTAGATTATGCTTCACTTCTAGCCTTCCTTGGTTTCTGAAGGTCACTTAACTAGAAGTCTTTTTCTCCTTTGGGCTCACTGTCTCTTTTGCCCTCTGAGCCACTGGGATTAACATTCCAAATGCGTGGTCTGGTCTCATTGTCTGTCAAACTTTGAATGTTGAATCTCAACACTCCGCAGCTTTAGGAGTCATCGTCATGAAGAATCACTCTTCCTTCTGACTGCAGAAATTCTATTGTGGCTTTTCTTATCACTTATTCTGAACATAACTTCTTTCTATAGTTGGTTTTTTCTTCCTGCATTACAATGGGGGTTAGGTGCTGTAAACTTTTACTATATTAATGATGTTTATTTTAGAATTTCAGAGTGCCAAAAGACAAAACGGGTACCACAAGGATTGGTGACCTCGCACCACAGGACATGAAGAAAGTTTGCCCTTTAGCCCTAATTGAGCTGACGGCCCTCTATGATGTATTGGGTATTGAGTTGAAACAACAAAAAGCTGTGAAAATCAAAACAAGAGGTAATCATGAAATGACAGACAGTGGATTTATTTCTAAAATAGCAAGGATGGACTTGGCTTTTTAGCAGGATTTCTGGCAGACAGAGGAAACACCTACAAAATAAACCACCACTTGAATACATCTACAGTTTATATTCTAAGATGTTGCCTTCAAAAGTTTTATAACTTCATAGAAATACACTGAGTCCTAGACTATAGAGAAAAAAGGCATAATCAGGTAATTCTCATAGAAGGAAATTCTGAAGCAAGGAATCTTAACTCATGTGCTTTCTCCTTTGAAAACTATATATTTCAAAAGATACAGTGACTTGGTGTATATTTATTTCCAGAATCAGATCTTGAAAAATGACTTTAAGATGGTTGATTCTAAATGATTACTTTGGTTGTTCATTGGATAGGAAATAAATAGGCCAGTTAGTAGTCTGCCCCTTTGTTCCTGGACATTCGAATTTTACGTATTTTGCAAAGACAGTCTTTCCCCTACTGCTAAGAAAATAACACCATTGTGACCCAGCAATGCCACTGGATTGTACTCATCATGGAAATGTGGTGTGATTTTTTTTTTATAAGTATCTTGCTTTACCCATTAAATAAACAATTTCTTTTTTATAATATAATAGAAAACAGACACCTCCTCAGTTTTTGTTTCTCCAGTAATTTATTGGTCATGAAATCCACATAACTCTCTGTTAACAAAGCTTCACTATTTAGGAATCTTTGTCCTCTTGTTTAACCTTAGAGGTATCTCCGAAAGAGAAACCAAGAATGAGGATTATTGAATTGCTATGGTAACATTCACAAAGACAAGTATTCACCTGATTTAGGTTTTAGAGTCAATTACTCTGTAGGACTGAAGTGTACCTTCCCTTCTGGTCCTCTGTCATGCTGGGCCCCAGAAGACCTCATTCTGTGCCTAGTTCCTTTGAGTGCTTTAGCATAAAGCCTAGGATGGTGAATTTCTGAGTTAAATGGTGCTCTGTTTTTTCATAAGTCCATTATGGATAATGAAGACTTAAGATGCTTTCTGAGAAGCTCATCACAAAGCCTTCTCCAAACATAAAATAGAAATACAATTTAAATAGTTGTGGGTCAGTGCCAGGATTTTTAAAGTGGCTCAGAGAGGTTTTTTTTTGGTTAATGTTATGTTTTAGAATTGCATCCTGGCAAAGAAATATTAAGTTGTTTATATCAAGGCTATCACTGTTAATAGAATTTCTTCCTATCTTTATTTAATACCTGTTTGTCTTATCCAAGATACAGATTTTATGTAAAACCCTCTACCCTTGGCGTTCTTCAGATTGCATCTTTTCTGAATTCCCAAACTAAAAAGTTATTTGCTGGGTTACCGGCGTTCTTTTGAATGGCATCTCCATTAAGTGTCAGTCTCCAATGTCTGTTCTCATGCCTCGAGATAATCCCCTTTTTCATGTTCACAGATGATTCTCATTTCCATGCTGATGTATATCATAAAGGAAAAAGTTATCACTTCAGTGCTAACGGTCCACTCAGTGATGGAGGCAGGGTGGATGTGCTGGAAGAAGCCATGTTCATAGCAGACTCAAGGCATATGATTTTAATTAAGAAAAATTGTAAACTATTAGCTGTCATTTACTTCTGGAGCTATTTCTAAGTATATACAACTACACATTTAAATTTAAGAATAGCAAGTATCTATTTTCTAAAGAGAAACATTTGTAGAACAAGATCATAATCTTGTCTGATTTTTCAGACAGCGTTTATATTTTGCTGTATTGTAAAATGTTCAGTGTCTATTTAATATGGAAAAAATGAATGATATTTGGTTTTTTTGGTGTTGTAAAAAAAAAAAAAGATGATAGGTCTGTCACTGAGGCTGGAGTGCGGTGGTGCACTCCTGGGTCACTGCAGACTCAACTTCCCAGGCTCAAGCTCTCCTCCAGCTTCAGCCTCCCAAGTAGCTGAGACTATAGGACCCTGCCTAATTTTTTTTTTTTTTTAATTTTTCATAGAGATAGAGTCTCACTATCTTGCCCAGGCTTAGGCTGGTCTTGAACTCCTGGGTGCAAGCAATCGTCCCACCTTGGCTTCCCCAAAGTGCTGGGTTGTAGACGTAAGCCACTGCACCTGGCCAATATTTGCTTTTAAGTAAGAATTTTAAATTTGATTACATTTAGTAAATTATTTGGACATTTTGCATGTTCTCACAGCACTCTGTGTCTCTTATGCAGCAGTTTGCACTTTTCTAATTATGTTGGTAATTATTTGCAATCATTTATTTAGTTGTCTTTCCTTGCTGCATTGCTCTATAAGGTAGGACCAGGATTTTACTATTGACCAGCATATCTCTAATGTTGAGATGCTGTCATTCATTTAGTAGATGCTCAATAATAGTTGTCTGATTTACAGTGTCAGAAATCTTATGCTTTAACATTTTTATATTAATATTTTATAGATTGACAAAAGTGAGGAAATTTTATTTTTTTCTTGCAGATTCTGGTCTTTTTTGTGTTCCATTGACAGTGTTGTTAGAACAAGATCAGAGGAAAATACCAGGAACGCGAATACCCTTGATCTTTCAAAAAGTAAGTAGGCTTGGATTGGTCACCATAGAGAGAACATACTTAAGCTAATAGTGTTTTTTTGTATTCATATTATTATAATATAGTTTTCCAATTGATATACTGTCATGTTTTGTACTTTGATTTTCTATTCAGGAAGCAAATTTGTTTCAAGGGCTCATAAGTTTTATATTCATGGTGATGCTTTCTGCGTTATTACTATAACTGTGATTACCTGGCATCTTTTCCTGTCTTATGTTAGCTGGCTTTGTATAATTGAGATTTCAATTCTATAATACATAGGAGTGGGAACTGCTTATAAATTTCTAGGGAATTGCATCCTCATGAATATTTCATGCCTGTGTGTGTTTCCTAAGCTTTTCTATTTACAGTGAGGATGTCCAATTTAATTTACCAGTGCCTATTTCCAAAGTAGGCAAAGAAACCATAAAGTAGAATTAGAAAATGATTGCTAAACTATTAAGTCACTTGTATAGTCAACACTCAATTATTCATAAGGGGATTATCTGTGGCAGTATAAAAATTTCCATCCAACCTTTGAGCCATCATTGTTCAGCAACACAGATTACATTTGAGAAAAGCTGGGGAATGCACAGTGAGGAAGACAGGTCAACTCAGTTGTGCACTACCCAAGCTGTAGATTCTTTGCAGCCTGCACATATCACTGTTTCTGAAATTTCTTGGAACAGTAGAAATTGAGTTGCAGTTAATTGGCTCAGCAAACTCATCTAGTACTAAGGCTCAATGTAGTTGGCGCTTATTCTTCCCCTCTTCCAAACCAGTCAATTCCCTGTCTTCCCTACTAACGTTTGGTGCTTTTTCCGCCCATGTCTACCACTACATTCAAACCTGCATCTCATTATTTCTCCTGACAAACTTTGTTCTACACAGTTTATCTCACCCATTAGCTTCTGCTAGCCACAGTGCAGACCACGTATCTATGGAGAGCTGTCAGCAGTACCTGTGATTAACAAGAGGAGGCTGACAAATACAGGCTACATATTCAAATTCTTCTGTCAGTAACAGTTGCAATTTACATACACCAAAGCCTATACGAAGCAGGGATCTCAGCAGCATCCTTTCCTGCGGTATTAGTCAAAGTTCTCCAAGGAAACTGAACCAATAGGATATATTTAGATTGAGATGAGATTTATTTTTTAAAGTTGGCTTACACAATTGTGGGGCTCACGAGTCTGAAATATGTAGATCAAGCTAGCACACTGGAATTGCAGGCAAGAGTTGATGCTGCCATCTTGAGTCCAACATTTGCAGGCTGGAAACTTAGGCAGTGTTTCTTTGTTGCAATCTTGAGCGGAATTGCTGCTTGGGGAAACCAAAATCTTTTAGGCCTTCAACTGATTGGATGAGGCCCATCATATGATAGAGAGTATTAAATAACTGTCATTACTCAAAGTCTACTGTTACAAACAACAACAACAACAAAAATCTGTCACTGCAACATGTAGACTGGCGTTTGACTGAACACGTAGGCATTGTAGCCTAGACAAGCTGACACAGAAAATTCACCATCATACCACAGAAATACAGTAAGCTTCAATTTTCATGGAGGTTCAATGATGCCATACTGAGGATTGCATCCAGCCTATTAAGAAAAATCTCCCTTTGTCATTTCCTCTTGAAGTTTTTTTTAAAATTTATTTAGTTGGTTATTTTTTGCCTTTGGTCCTTTAACATTCTATAGACTAGCTGTCTATCTGTTTGAAGGATTGGACAATGGCCCTAAAGTATTTTTGTTTCTATAAAAAATGAAGGAGCATATAAAAGGTTTGCTTGTAGATAACACTCATCTGTTTGCATCCCCTGTGAATTACAAGCAAAAATCACGGCGATCTATCACAAAAAAAGTTTTGATTTATCAGCTGACAATTAGGTCTGATCTCAATTTTGTAAAATGGAAAAAATTAAAAATGACTGATTTGCAAGAAGATTCATTACCAGTCTATAGAGGACTATAATTTTTGAGCTTATATAACCAAAAGGGTACTAACAAAGCTTGTCTAATATCTATGAACCTGTATCTGTTATTTCATTATTTTGCTCAGAGGTACATTGTTAAACCTTGTATTCTCAGAAAGGTGGGGGAAATAGAAATATTGTTAATTTTAATCTATGAAAGAAGTCTGCCTTATAACCTAATTATCAAACCTAGTGTTTTCACTGTCAAATGAATCGACTAACTCAGCCATACTTTGTGTCAAAGAGTCTGTATTTTCATTTCATTTTTCAGTTCACATAAGTACATAATGTATGTTTTGAGAAATGTGATGAAAATTATTGATAAATTACAGAACGTAGATAAATTAGTAAAAACAGCATTATTAAAATGTATGGATCAATATAGTTATTTTTCATCGCCATTTTTAATCCTGATAATAAAAGCAAAGCTATAAACTATCATTTATATTTTAATAATACAATACAATGTGGTAGCTAAAAATATTATTTTCAGAGTGAGACATATGAGAACACACATGGCATTCCTTCTGAAGATACATATATGTAACTCTATTGGGTGCTGTGGTTTTCAGCCTTAGAGAATAACAAAAAGGACTCAAATACTAAAATGCAGAAATTACGTTCACTCAGTTATTCAGAAGTCACAATCACTTTTTCCTGTGTATTTAATGAAAGTGAAAGGCGTATATTGCTGAAAACTAATTTGCTCCAGCAGCTAGCATACAATTTTATTTTTTGTTAATAGGACATAGAAGTGTTTCAAACCTTTTATAAGATGAAATGAAATGAAAATTGGCCATACATTGAATATTGGTTAAATTTGGTTTTAAGTGCTTTGTTTTGAGTAATACCCGTCTGATCTAAAATAATTCACCTAAAATTTTTGCTATGGGTTTTTATCCAGTGTTACTCGAAAAATGTGGTTTTAGAAAATATTCCAGTAGAGTTTTAAAAAATCCTGTACTGCTTTGACTGATCAAAGATGCTTCTCTTTTCCTAAAAATAAATCCTTAGGAATTTTGAGACTACCACATTTAGTTGTTATCAAACTTCCTCAATATCAGTGCATTCTTTGGCCACAATATAACCCAGGAATAGAAGAGGCGAAGTCTTTAAAGAAAAGTTGACATCCCTTCCAATGTTCACATACTACTGTATATCTAACTTCAGAATATCAAGACAAAGGTCAAAAGACCTCATTTATGATGCCAGGCTTTGCTCCTAACAGACACTTTTATGTGCAAGGGAAAAACAGTAAGCTCTAGGTATTTTATAGAGCCTTGTTTAATCATTAAAGGAGGCTTCACTGAAAAACACTTTTTTACATTCTTTTGATACTCTAGAAGATGTTACGCCTTAGGGCATGCAGAGAATATTATAGTAAGATTGTGGATAAGTGAAGAATAGGTCTGTCTTTTATAAAGTAGAGAAGGCAATTGTGAAATGAGAGTGGGTGCTATGGAGGAAAACCTATGCGATGCTAGGAAATGCCTTATATTTAAACTGAGGACATGAAAACTGATTTTCTTAAAATAGCAGAATATGTTCTGTAAAGCCTTTGTGTACTACTGCTCAGGGAAGGCCTCCTCCAAGAAGATCACTTTGCCAAGAATCTGACCACTCTTTTTTCTTCTTAGCCTCTAATAGTTATTGTAATTTCTCCATTAGTCTTATTTTTGAGGTGTTTTTTTTTTTAATCCTTTCTTGTGGGAATCTGGAGTTAGATCAGCGTATTCACTGGGCATCAGGTATGACTTAGAGGCCATATGCAAGGACATTTTCCTTTGTTTAACACCAAAGGCTTAGAAATGAATATTTGCAAACAGTTTTTTTTCTGCATGTCATAAATAATTCTTTCTTGGAACAAGCTAAAAATGAGATGTAAATATGCAAATGCTAGAATTTCATAAGATTTATTTGATTGCAGAATGTAGGTTTCTGGAAAAGCAGAATAAATGGATGTTCTTAGTTGCTTTTGAACAATGAACATCTTTATTTTCTGTTTGGAGTACCACAGCTGTTGTGTGAAATTACACACTTTTGTTACAAAGTAGAATAAGGCCCAACTTTTTCTAAATTATAACTAAAGTTTCTGGACTTACTGTTTTGAAAGATAGTGGTAGTACAATAGCATTCAAAGCCTTATAACATTCAGTTTACATGTCATTGTAATCAGTTTGATTTACAAGTGAAACATATGTTAAATTTGGAATTGTACCTGTTACAAATATCAAAATCAGAATGTTTCTCTGTTTATGCACAGCTGATTTCTCGAATTGAAGAGGGAGGTTTGGAAACTGAAGGCCTCTTACGAATTCCTGGAGCTGCCACTAGAATCAAGGTAATCTCTGGGTTCTACTATTGTAAACATTTTTTTGTTTATTTATACTTCTGCATTTTAAAAGCTAACATGTCCTCTCCACCCTTTTTTTCATTTTTAGTAAAGTAGATAAAATAAAACATAAAACATTTTACCATTCCTTTTCGTGTTTCTACAGTCCCTTCTGGTTTTTGCTAAGTTTTGTTTTTTTCCAAATCGCCATATTACCTATAATAATGCTATGACAAGAGAATGTGATGAGCTAAAATATTAATAGGGTGGGGGTAGTTGTGATAGATTTAGTCAGGATGTGTAGTAGCAATTGAGTTTACAAAAGTCAGGGCCAGGCGTGGTGGCTCATGCCTGTAATCCCAGCACTTTAGGGGGCCAAGGTGGGATGATTGGTTGAGGTCAGGAATTCAAGACCAGCCTGGGCAACAAAGTGAGACTGTGTCTCTACAAAAAATAATTTAAAAATTTAACCAGGCATTGTGGCACACACCTGGAGCCCTAGCTACTCTGGAAGCTAAGCAGGAAGCATTGCCTGAACCCAGGAGTTCCATGTGGCAGTGAGCCGTCATTGCCCCACTGCACTCCAGCCTGGGTGACAGAGCAATAAGACCCTATTTCTTGGAAAAGAAAAAAAAAAAAAAAAGACCAGGAGCATAGACTTCAGCAGATGGGGGAGCCTTGACATCCTATGCATAATTAGTCTTAGTGAGCCGGCCAGATGAGACACTCTCATCTACCTTACTGATTCTGATTCACACAGTTGCCTGTCTTACTGCATCCAGGGTATCCTGAGTCTGGCTGGAAGAATAGTTTCCAGACTTCCTAATTTGAGCCCTCCCTTCTCCTCCTCTGGATGGCATTTCCTTTCTACTATCCCAGGGTACCGTGTATACTCCTGCTGTCATCTTTGTGCCTCATTTTTGGCTCTGGGGGATAAAGTTTCCATTGAATGCCTGATAAAGATGGAATTACCCCACAGGGGATGCATAGTACATATCTGCTCAGGGGGATTTGAAATGTAAAGGGTACTCATCCTTGGAATTGTAGCTGTATCTGGAAAGCAGCCATTAACTGTCACTTTTACCCTATCTTCCAAATTTACCTTTCGTTCTGCACTGAGATAGCACAAGTAACCACTGCCCATATCCAATACATTGTCTTCCTGAATTTGAAAATCTAAGTGAAAATAGGAAAGAAGAGAGATAATCTCTCTTCATTTTCATAAGCCCATTCTTTATGAAATCTTTAGAGCTGGATCAGGACCAAGTGTTTCTCGGGGAGTGCACACTGTCCTGGCCTGTGACTAATGGGCTGTGGTCTTGCCAGGATTGGAATTACTCTTTATACATTCCACAGTTTGCATCACCTGCTTATTTTGATAAGTTGCCTTGATTTAGGACACCAGTTTCGGCCTCCTTGGCTCTTACTACACAGTGATCTCATTTTAATATGATTCGAGTAGCCTGATACATCCTGATCGTAATTTTCGTCTTGTGTCCCCTGGGTTTGATGTCTGGTATGCAGAGGATCCTGAAACTGTGGTGGTGTGTGTAAGTTTGATAACTTGTCATCATCTGACTTCATTTACTAACACCTACGGCACGTTCACCACTAGTCAGTCATGGACATTGTGTGATTCTGAGATGAGTCCTGTTAAGTACTTTCTCTAACACAGATGTAATTCCTCAGAAACAGGTAACATAAACTCATATTACCCATATCGGCAAGATAGTCCTTCCCAATTCACCATTCAAAGCACTCGGGTCCTCATTAGCAGACTGTGATGACCAACTCACAGGAGGCAAAAATACATTGACTTTGGTACAGAATAGTGAATATAATGCAGATTTTACTTTGCAAGGAGAAGGCTGGCAGAAGGACAAGTTTAACTAAGTGTAATTTCTAAGAAGACCAATTAAGTGGATTCAGCTGGCTCAACTCTTCAACCCAGCCTGTTGTCATATGCCAAATTATGCAGCAGCTGGTCCATTATAAATAATTTAAAGGATAATATGCAAAAATTTTGGTTGTCTCTTTCTCCCTAGCCCCACCAAATTTCCCTGTACTGTTCTCTCTCCCTCTTCCTCTATTCTTGCCACTCCTCTCTTCTGGCTCTTCCTCTGCTGTCCTTTACTCCCTCATTCTTTCCCTCCTGTCCCCCTCCTCTTCCTTCCCTCCCTCTCATTCCCTTTTTCCATCTTTTCCTCCCTCCCTCTTTTTTATCTTCCTCCTCCCTTCTTTTCTCCCTCTCTCTTTCCTCCTCCCTATTTCTTTCCCTGTCTTTGCCTACTCCCCTTCACAAATTTCATCAATTACAAAAATAACGGGGGGTAGAGAATGGTCCTTGTGTTAGGAAGAGAACATGTAATTTGCCTTACAAGAAAACAATGAACATGCTTTGGGAGAATGGTTTCATGTAACAGAAGAAAATGACAGAAAGTTGCGATGGTTTCTAACATGATCAGATTTATGTACTTTATAGTAAAGAAGCATACAAAAAATAGTAATTACAAAACTCAATTAATTTATTAGTAATAATTTACCTGACAATCTTCGTAGAGTTCTGAGGTAAGTGAACTAGGTATTTCGAATTCTTCATGGATTCGGACTGTTTTCCACAGCTGGCAGCAGGATGGCTGTGCGTTAAAGACAGGTATATTGATGTATTTTCATGCCTCGTTTGCTGTAGAATTGAGTTTTCCATTTCCCAGAGGTGACTAATGAGAGGTAGCCTTCTGTTTTAGGCCCAGAGATTGATTATGTATTTTGTTACGTAATATACTTCTAAATAATTTAAAACATAGACTTCTTTTTTAGTGATTTTTTTCTTAATTGAATGAAGATTTATAATATGTGGGTGAAGCCCCCAAATGGAAAGGTTATTTTCACCAATCTCTTTTTTTTTTTTTTCCATTTATTTATTTTATTGCATTTTAGGTTTTGGGGTACATGTGAAGAACATGCAAGATTGTTGCATAGGTACACACATGGCAGTGTGATTTGCTGCCTTCCTCCCCATCACCTACATCTGGCATCTCTCCCCTTGTTATCTCTCCCCAATTCCCCGCCCCCAACAGTCCCTCCCCTATTTCCCCCCAACAGTCCCCAGTGTGTAGTGCTCCCCTCCCTGTGTCCATGTGTTCTCATTGTTCAACACCCGCCTGTGAGTGAGAACATGCGGTGTTTGATCTTCGGCTCTTCTGTCAGTTTGCCGAGAATGATGGTTTCCAGGTTCATCCATGTCCCTACAAAGGACACAAACTCATCGTTTTTGATGGCTGCATAATATTCCATGGTGTATATGTGCCACATTTTCCCTGTCCAGTCTATCATCGATGAGCATTTGGGTTGGTTCCAGGTCTTTGGTATTGTAAACAGTGCTGCAATGAACATTCGTGTGCACGTGTCCTTATAGTAGAACGATTTATAATCCTTTGGATATATACCCAGTAATGGGATTGCTGGGTCAAATGGAATTTCTATTTCTAGGTCCTTGAGGAATCGCTGTCTTCCACAATGGTTGAACTAATTTACACTCGCACCAACAGTGTAAAAGTGTTCCTATTTCTCCACATCCTCTCCAGCATCTGTTGTCTCCAGATTTTTTAATGATTGCCATGCTTCTTTTTTTTTTTTTTTTTTTTTGAGACGGAGTTTCGCTCTTGTTGCCCAGGCTGGAGTGCAATGGCGCGATCTCGGCTCACCGCAACCTCCGCCTCTTGGGTTCAGGCAATTCTCCTGCCTCAGCTTCCTGAGTAGCTGGGATTACAGGCATGCGCCACCATGCCCAGCTGATTTTTTGTATTTTTAGTAGAGACGGGGTTTCACCATGTTGACCAGGATGGTCTCGATCTCTTGACCTTGTGATCCACCCGCCTCGGCCTCCCAAAGTGCTGGGATTACAGGCTTGAGCCACCGCGCCCGGTCTTAATGATCGCCATTATAACTGGCGTGAAATGGTACCTCAATGTTGTTTTGATTTGCATTTCTCTGATGACCAGTGATGATGAGCATTTTTTCATATGTTTGTTGGCCTCATGTATGTCTTCTTTTGTAAAGTGTCTGTTCATGCCCTTTTCCCACTTTTGAATGGGCTTGTTTGGTTTTTTCTTGTAAATCTGTTGTAGTTCTTTGTAAATTCTGGATATCAGCCCTTTGTCAGATGGGTAAACTGCAAAAATTTTTTCCCATTCTGTTGGTTGCCGATTCACTCTAATGACTGTTTCTTTTGCTGTGCAGATGCTGTGGAGTTTGTTTAGGTCCCATTTGTCTATTTTGGCTTTTGTTGTCAATGCTTTTGGTGTTTTGGTCATGAAGTCCTTGCCTATACCTATGTCCTGAATGGTTTTTGCCTAGATTTTCTTCTAGGGTATTTTCACCAATCTCTTAATTAAAACTTCATTACTTATAGTTTGTGGAGTGTCCAGGAAAAACTATAAATTTGGGGGGTTTTTGGCCTTAACAGTTAAAAAGTATAAACTGTCTTTTGGCCTTAGGTAGTTTTTTATTGGTAAAGTACATTCGGATTAGAAGAGAGGAGTAGTTTTTCTGAGTAAAAGAAGTATTGACTTTTGCTAGTTTGATTTGTCTTGTCTAAAGAGTAGAATCTCTTGAAAGTAGAAAATGTATCACATTCTCAGCAAGAAAAAAAATGCACTTATAGCTTCTTCTTCTTCTTTTTTTTTTTTTCCCTCTGTGCCTATCAGAATCTTTGCCAAGAACTAGAAGCAAAGTTTTATGAAGGGACTTTTAATTGGGAAAGTGTCAAACAGCATGATGCCGCCAGCCTGCTGAAGCTCTTCATTCGGGAGTTGCCCCAGCCATTGCTCAGTGTGCAATATCTGAAAGCCTTTCAGGCTGTCCAGAGTAAGTGCTATCCCTCTTTGAAGCAGTCCTTCTGCTGGTGCCATCTATGTTCATTGTTTTAATGACATTTGGCATCACAAAGAACGTAACCAGACATATTTGGGTGGACATACTGACTCACTGATGTCAGTGGGTGCTCAGATGCCATGCATTGTTTTCATTTTCTCTTATAAATATGCATTTCTGAATAAACAGATAACAGAATGTTCTCTTTGGGTACAGATTAAATGCATGGCATTTAAGCAATACAATATATTTCAGTGTTAAAACCTGGAAACTTCACGTTTCTCTTATAATAGAATGAGTCACATAACATCTCTGACACAGTTTTCTTGCCAAGTGTTAAAAGCAACACTTACTAGAGAAGCTGTGGATTAACAGTTATCATAAAAGCACAGGGAGAAGTGGTAGGGTCTGTGAGCATTTCTTGAAAAATTAAATTCTGAGGTTGTCATGCAGAAACGTGGAGCAAAGCATTTTGCTGCCTCATTGGTGGAAAGTCACAAGCTGCTTCTTATGTACTTGCTGTCATTTTGTTGTCTTGAGCAAGCTACATTTTAATGTCTCTCTAATAGCTCTCGATTTTTTTTTCCAGTGAGCCTAGATCTTATAAGGTTTAGCTACTGGCCTAATTATCCATTTTACGCCTAGAGGCCATGAAAAAAGTAAAAATGCCATCACTGTATTCAAGTAACCGTATCTTTATCTTTTAAATGGGGACACTTATAAGAGTGAAAGAGGGGCACTAGAAATAATTATGGTGAGCTCCCAGAACTTTGGGAGGCTGAGGTGGGTGAATCGCTTGAGGTCAGAAGTTTTAGACCAGCCTGGCCAACATGGTGAAACCCCATCTCTACTGAAAATACAAAAATTAGCCAGGTGTAGTGGTGTGCACCTGTGATTCCCGCTACCAGGGAGGCTGACGCGGAGAACTGCTTGAACCCGGGAGGTGGAGGTTGCAGTGGGCCTAGATCACACCACTGCACTCCAGCCTGGGAGACAGTGAGACCCGACTCAAAAAAAAAAAAAAAAAAAATTATGGTGAGCTACAGTTTCAACCAGAACTGTGCCAGGCTATTCTTAAAGCACACAATATTGAGATGGTTTCATGAGTCATCTTGTATCATGACATTTCTTCAGAATTTCTAGGAGAGATGGAACTGAAATCATCTTCTGTTTTAAGTATTTTTTCTTAACATATTTCTTCTTTAAACAGAATAAATTACCTTCTGTTGGAAATACTTCTTAATGTTGAAATTGTGCTATGTTGCACACATTTCTTGGATATGGATTAAAGGACCAAATTTATTGCTGAAAAAGAAATGCTGGAATGATTCTAAATATCCATGAGTATTACTTAAATGGGGTAAGGGCTGCCGAAAATGATAGCATCAATGATAATCACCTCTTAGACTGTTTAATTGCTGCTTGGTTTTCTAATTTATTCCACAGGCATGTATAAGCACCTATTGTGTTCCAGGCCCTATTTTACATATTCTTGTTGGAATTAATGGACTCTTACCATGCATTTGTTCACTCACCATTAAAAGAAATAAATTTCACTGTTACAGACGCACCCTGATACCATATCACGGAAGGTCCAATCCTCTATGTCTTTTCATTGGGGAATAATTATCATGCAGAAGTTAAAATTATTTCCAAAGCACTGTTGTGTGTCTGCAAACATAAGGCCGCGCGTCATATGATCACAGTTGGAAGTGAGCATTCTGAGAGAGAGGAAGCTCCTAACAGCAGCTGCTTCTGCTGATCTCCCACAAACACACTCTCAACAAGGCTTGCTGCTCAGTCGTTGTGTCTTACATTTTACAGTAATGTTTATGCCAAATAACTTTTTTCTTCAAAAGTGAAAAAAGAAAGTAAAGGAAAATGTTCAGTAAAGAAAAGAGTTCAGATTTATTTAATCTGTCTGCAGATCTTCCAACCAAGAATCAGCAACTACAGGCCTTGAACCTTCTTGTCATCCTCCTACCTGATGCAAACAGGGACACGCTGAAGGTCAGCTCCATTAATTTACATTAAATATCCCTTAGAACTAAACACAGTAATTTTTCATTATTTGTGGCAAAACAGTACGATGTGTATCTTGGATATGTTCATAAAAGTCTATAAAGAAAAAGCCCACTTTTAAAGACAGAGGGTGAAAGTCTTTAACTCTTTATTTATGAGGTTGTTTTGTTACTAATGTTATTAAGCTTTTTTAAAAAAAATTTTTCACTATAATATTTCTTCTTCCAAACCAGATGATTGAGGTTTATTGCTTAATGGAAGCATGGGTGCTTTTTAGTTTTTTCCTCGTTATTTTATTTTTTGCATGTTTTGAGTTGTATTTAGTAAGCATGTAGTAGTAAGGTAAAATATAAATGTTTAAAACAAAAATGTTAAGCCACATCAGATATAACCCACTACTACCTAAAGATCTTACAGTTTGTAGTTCAAAATGGTGGATTTTGGAATAAGTCATAATGGTGATTTGATACATTTGTTAGCCAAAAGATAGACCAACTCAAACAAATTCTATTTATTTCTCTAAGGGTTTATCCTGAGTTTCTGTTTTATATTATCATTTTGAAGTGATTTGGTCTAATGTTTATATGATTTAATATCATCCATTATAAGTATTGTCAGAAGCTTTCATAATCAGGGGATTGTTCCATACTGATTTATTTTCCTTAACAGCAGAAGTTTATAGAGTAGTTGTAAAAGGTTTAATTATAAACTCTTATAGAAGAAAAAGGAAAAAAATAAATTTAGTAAAAGTATTATCTAAAGTTTTACCCCTGCCTTCAGATATTTCTTCTTCCAAACCAGACGATTGAGGGTCGTTGGTTAATGGAAACATGGGTGCTTTTCAGTTTTTTTCTCCTTCTTATTTTTATTTTTTGCATGTTTCGAGTTGTATTTAATAAGCATGTAGTAGTAATTCATTTTTTTGTATTTAAAATCTCACGACAAGAACTTTCAAGTTAAGAAAACAAATTCACTAGTAGGTACACCTTGGAATTCTTTCCCTGTAATTCATTAAAACTCCTTGAATTGTAACTGCATGAGTGATAGTTCTTTAATGCCCATGGAATGAATGTTAATACTCAGCTGTTCTTGATGAAGCAGCTTAGGGGGATTACTGGAGGTAAAATGCTACATCCGCTACAGGAGAACTTCCGAAGGGTTATTCCCTTTCCTAAGTCAGAAAAAAAAAGCCTTTTGTTTCAAATGAATAACCCGGGAGGCAGCATTAGGTTTTGTTTCACTTTGCTTTTGAGGCAGAGGTCAACTCAGAAAGGGTTATATTCGAACAATATGTGCCCGGGGTTGCTGTGTAAGTGTGTGGAGATTGTGGCTGAGACAGGGACAGGGGGCTCACGACGAAGTGGGGCTGATCATCCAACATGTCCTCTGCTTGCCAGCAATGCTCCTGACACAGGGCTTCAACTACTCAGAAATAGGGAGGAACGTCTTCTTACTCATTGACTTTTTCTTGCCACATCTCTGGGTGACAGCCCTATCAGTGACCAGTGTGCAGTGCGTATTGGAAAACATATGATTTACTTAAAGTATCCCTACATTCAAATGAGTTCAAGTAGTTGTGGGAGGAAGCTCTCAATTCAATATGGCTGCTGTGGGTGTGGCTAATCCAGAACTCTTCCTTGGACTTTGCCCACAAAGTCCCAGGCATGCTCTTTTAAAAATTGTTAAAAAATATTTTAAAAATTATAGGCTAATTCTTACTTTTTGTGTATGAGGCTATTGGAAACATAATTTTATAATTAAGTGGGTGGAAGTACTATTTTTAGTGAAAAACTGGAGATGCAAACAAGTAATTTTACATGTTTATTTAAGCTTTGGTGACTTAATTAGCCTGCTCTGCTGAAGGTTTCAAACTAGAACTTCAATAATAGAACATTGGAACAAGAATGCCATATGTGCAAAGGATAAGCCATAAATTCATTTCTGTAAAAGGGAAGGGAAACTCCACTGCAATATAATTTCGGGAACCCCAACGCAAAATTCTCCAACTTTTCCAGTGCTAGCAACATGCCTTTAGTTGTCATTTGAAGGACAGAATCATGTGCATGACTTGTGTGTAATACTGCTCCAGCAAGTCTAAGATTAAGAGGCACCATGGTCAATACCCCATCTTGGCGTGATAGTAAATCGACAGGTGTGTTTGGGCAAGTTGCTTAACCACAGTTAGTTTTTTTTTTGTTGTTTTTTTAACTTTGAATTATGGTGCATTTGCACCAATGATCACACCTACCTTTGACTTGGAGCAATAGTGAAGACTGATTTCAGATAGCAAGAGGGGACCCATGTTAATATGATTATTGACATTTATCTTTTTTGTAGTTTTAAGAAGCTCATTATATACATTGTCTTGCCTTTCAGGCTGAGAGATAAGTATTCCCATTTTACAAATAAGAAAACTTTAAAGAGCAGAGGTATAGAAATATTTACTCTAACATCACACCTAGCTAATAAGTAATCGTGCTAGGATTCAAACCTGGGTTTTCAGAGAGTGAGTCCAGTGATACATTGATACCACCGGGCCAGTGATAAAATAAATGCTTTTTGAAACAGGGTAGGTTCTCAATGAGTGTATAAAGAAAACGTGATACACACACACACACACACACACACACCCACCCACCCACCCGTAATACTACTCAGCCTTAAAACAGATTGAAATAATGGCCTTTGCAACAACTTGGATGGAACCAGAAGCCATTATTCTAAGTGAAGTAACGCAGGAACGGGAAACCAAATATCGCAGGTTCTCACTTATCAGTAGGAGCTGAGCTATGAGGATACAAAGGCATAAGAATGACACACTGGACTTTGGGACCTGAGGGGAAGGAAGGGTAGGAGAACGGTGAGAGAGAAAAGACTGCGTACTGTGTACATTGTACACTCCTCAGGTGACAAGTGCACCAAAATCTTAGAAATTACCACAAAAGAACTTCCTCATGTCACCAAAAAACACCTATATCCCCAAAACTATTGAAATAAATATATATATATATATATAAAGGGGAAATACTTAAGGTTCAGACAGAAGATACTGCAGTTCCTTCAGCAAGTGCTAGGCTAGCATCTCGTTAATTTTATATTAACTCTCTCTCTTATTCTCTAGTATTCTGATAGTAATATTTCGAATAACGTTATTGCCTATGCATACCACAATTAAAATAGTTTATTGCCTAATCTTTGTAATTTATGCTCATAAAGAAGGAGATATACTGGCCCCTGAACGATTATTTCGGTCTCTGTGGAACAAAATTAAATATTTTTTCCAAACTTCACCAATTAATCTTTTGTCCTCATTTGAGAACATGTTGTTTTATATAACTTTATGCTTGGATTACAATTTAACTTCCTGAGCACCTTACTAGAAATTAGATACATAAATCTCATTGTTAGATATTAAAGCTCTGTCCTTAATTTGTTTCAAATTTTCAAGGTCTATATAGCAGCTAAACTTGATTCAAGAGCAACGTGTTAGCACTTAGAGGAATTTCTTTTCCTCAAATTCTTTGAAAGATAGATACTTTTTTTTTTCTTTTTCCATTTTGGTATAGTGTATTTGGCCTTTTTAGGGTAGGGATTTTAGGCTAACTATGAAAACATGGTTCTTTCAGTAAGTAGTTAAGAATTTAGAAACAAAAACCAGATAGCCCTGTAATTAAATTCTTTCTCCATGACCTGCTAACTGTATGACCACCAGGAAGTTACTTACATTCTCCAAGCATTTTTTTCTCATCTGTAAAATGGGGGTAATTGCAGTGTCAGTCTCCAAGTTAGGATTAAGCAATCTCTCTAATGTGCTTCATAAACTGCCTCATTCAGAGAGAACATTGAATACCTGTGCAGTTATGCTTGCTGCTGTTCTAGAACAAATTAAGAAGGCAAGAGAAAAATCTGAAGCCGTACGTCCTGTTAAAGTAGGGTGACCTCAGCTGCCTTTGGCTTTTGGGGAAGATAGGTTCAGAGGACAACGAGTGTCTGCAGTAGGGGTGGACGTATGTGGCATCGAGCTGAGCATAACCTAACCTGTCCTGATGAAAAGTTCCTTTTCATTCATTTAAAAAAATTCTTAGCTGGGTGTGATGGGTTACGCCTGTAATCCTAGCACTTTGGGAGGATGAGGTGGAAGTATTTCTTGAACTCAAGAGTTCAAGACCAGCCTGGGCAACATAGCAAGACTCTCTCTATAAAAAATCAAAAAAATTAGCCAGGCGTGGTGGCTAATTTTTTTAGCCACCTGTGGTCCCAGCTACTCTGGAGGCTGAGGCAGGAGGATCGCTTGAGCCCAGGAGTTTGAGGCTGTAGTGAGCTATGATCTACCACTACCACTGCATGCTGGCCTGGGCAACGGAGTGAGACTCAGTCTCAAAAAAAAAAAAAAGAAGATTGTCTTTGGTCTCTACTCATTTCCCCCCACAGTGTTCTGTTCTGCCCTGCCCTGCCCCTCTCTTTCTCTCTCTCTCTCTTTTTTTTTTCTTTTTCTTTCTCTCTTTTCTTTTCTTTCTCTGGGTTCCTCTCTGTTGCCTAGGCTGGACTCAGACTCCTAGGCTTGGATGATCCTCCCACTTCAGCCTCCTAGGGATCTGGGACTACAGGTGTGCACCACCATGCCCAGTGCCTGGCTCCTTTGTAGGTTCCACATCAGCCAGATATTAATTGCCTTAGGCAAATGAAACTGAAGTGGAATGAGGGGATTTTTAAAAATCTCAACATAGGAAAGTGTGGCACTTTCTGAAATAAGCCAATGTTTGTTTGATGTTTTAACTTTTCAGCTCTTCATGACTCCCATAGGCCAGAGGTCTGACACTTCCCCACTCCTCTCCCTGCTCCCTAGTTCAGCTATGCGCCATCTCTGCTTCATTCCCCAGTGCCATGGTCCTTCGTAGAAGCAAACTTCCATCTCAGGGAGCATCAGCCAACCGGAGAAGCTTTGCTAGCAGGGCCTGTTGGATGTGATTAGCTGAACTGTGCTTCTACACAACGTGTTTTTTTAATGAAATAAAAATTTTATATGCCACAGTGCTTTCATCTTTTATCTTCATATGTGACACAAATCTCAAAGAATCATTTCTGTTTCAGGCCCTTCTTGAATTTCTCCAAAGAGTAATAGATAATAAAGAAAAAAATAAAATGACGGTCATGAATGTAGCAATGGTCATGGCCCCGAATCTCTTTATGTGTCATGCATTGGGGTTGAAGTCCAGTGAACAGCGAGAGTTTGCAATGGCAGCTGGGACGGCAAATACCATGCATTTATTGATTAGTTATCAAAAACTTCTGTGGACAGTAAGTATACATTATATACTTTGTTCTTAGTGGTTTAAAAAACACATTGCATGTTTGTTATTAGCTTTATTAAATTACATTTAAAATTTGTGAGTGCAGAAAATAGTAATGACAATTTATTCCTATAGGTGAGGAGGGCCCTGTGAATTTCTGTTTTTAAATTATGTCAAAAGGTACCTTGTAAGAAGTACTTTTATTTCTGCCTATTCTCCCATTTCTCAGGGTTTAGACCTGTGTTTTTTTTTTTTTTTCATTTTTTTTGAAACAGATTTTACTCTTGTTACCCAGGCTGGAGTGCAATGGCGCGATCTCGGCTCACCGCAACCTCCACCTCCTGGGTTCAGGCAATTCTCCTGCCTCAGCCTCCTGAGTAGATGGGATTACAGACACACACCACCATGCCCGGTTAATTTTTTGCATTTTTAGTGGAGACGGGGTTTCACCACGTTGACCAGGATGGTCTCGATCTCTTGCCCTTGTGACCCACCCGCCTCGGCCTCCCAAAGTGCTGGGATTACAGGCTTGAGCCACCGCGCCCGGCCTCTTTTCTTTTCTTTTCTTTCTTTCTTTTCTTTTTTTTTAAGTAGAGATGGGGTTTCACCATGTTGGTCAGGCTGGTCTCGAACTCCTGACCTCAGGGGATCCACCCGCCTCAGCCTCCCAAGGTGCTGGGATTACAGGCATGAGCCACCGCACCCAGGTTTGGCCTGTTGTATTTTCAAAAGCCCATGCCGTCTTGGTTTCAGATTTTTCAGTGATTTTTCATAGATCCTTTATTTAAAGGGGTACATGCTTATTGCTGAGAACGTCTTTAAAAATGGTTTCCTCTGTTTCACACTTATTTTGAGCTTGCTTTGACAGCTTATCAGAGCATGGTAGTGGATGAGAGGCTTCGTTGATTAGGTGCTCATTTTCCAGAGAGATTTATAATTTTTCAGAAAGGCATCTTATAAGCATTTAGAAAAAATGACCTAAAGGAATTCCAAGCAAAATTATGATATTGAATATTTCAATCTCTTGTTTGAGGAACCTCCGAACATTAATTTGTTAAAAAGACAGAGTAATGATATTTAGATCCTAAAGTCTTTATTTTTATATTGCTTTATTTTTATAAAAAGACAACTGATATTTCAGATTTTTTTAAATAAAAATTTAATGTCTATTTATTAAATATCAATGTTTGAAATGCCCACATTATTTCATGGTTACATTTTGATACCTGAAAATATTTTGTTTTTGCTAATGTGATTTCTTAGGATAAATTTGTCCTGGATTTTTGCTAGCTACCTATCAGCTCTTGTTTCTTGGGGAGTAGTTCTTTCTCTCGTGACAGCAGCAGCTAGCTGGTTATTAGGAGGGGACTTTAGGTTAGCTAGCAGAACTGTAGGTAGGAGGCTACAAAAGAAAAGACCCGTGGAGGTGGTGGCTTCTACTGCTCGTCACCTCAGGGGGTCTCCAGTCTGGCATGGAAGACGACCACTATGCCCTTGGACTTCACAAAGCCTGTTTTAGAACCTTCCACAGTGGGTGGTAAATTACACCACGTGGATGCTCTGTACACCTGGTAAGTGAATAATATGAAGCATTTTCTTTTCACAGATTTAATGAAGAGTGCATGTAAAATGGCAGTCTTATCAAAAAAAAGAAACTCTTGACTCCTTTTGAAATTTAAGAAATATAGTTTTTTTTTTCTGTCGTTTAAAATGGTGCTATTTCTTTTCCCTCTCTAAGCTTAATTCCCTCTCTTTATAGATTCCCAAGTTTATTGTAAACCAAGTGAGGGAGCAAAACTCGGGAAATCACAGAAAGGATAAAAGAGCCATGAAGAAATTGCTGAAGAAAATGGCTTATGACCGAGAAAAATATGAAAAGCAAGATAAGAGCGCAAATGATGTAAGACAACAGGGGAGATACGTATTTATTCAGATTTTAAGCATTATTTTAATACCAACATTTTTTATTTAATGTTTTCATAGTATAACTTTCTACCACTTACTAGGCTGTGGTGCTACTTGTAAGAGAAAAGACATTAGTAACTATATCTTCCTACTACTGCTGCTAATGATCAGTATTGACAATTGTTCAGGTGTTGGTGACTCAGCATGTGAGTTGTTGGTGGGAAACAAAGGAAGATATCAAGACAAGACTGCACGCGCGCACACACACACACACACACACACACACACACCCCTCTTCTCTCCTGCAGAGACTCTAGTCGCCTGCTGAATATATAATCTATAGTGAGTAAATAATCCCATGTGAACCATTGACCTTTTTTCTAATTTTTTTTTTATCTGTACAATGGGGGAAAATAATCCAAATAGACAAATAGGTTAATGTTTGTATTGTGCTGAGGATTATTCCTGGGCTTTAATAAGTATTTGAAGGTTCTTAATTTGATCAGAAGAATTTTGAGAGCTAAATCGGAAAGAAAAAAATTAAGGCGTTTCAAAAAAGAAATATCTAAATATCTGTATTTACAAACTACTGTAAGAATATTAAGAACTGGGTTTACAATAATAAAATATACATGGCTATGTATACGTTTATGAAGTGAGTTACCAAAGCTGTAGCGTAAGATCATGAAATAAAAGGGTTTCTATTGTTCTATTTGAGTGAACCCACCTCCTCCCTACTACCACCACTGTTGAAGTTGTCCAGTTACATGCTGACATCTTGTGGAATAATGTGAAAATGCAGTTATCAGCTTTTGAATTTTTGGTTTTGGCCTGCTTGTGAATCCAGTAACCATAAAAACAGTCTTTCTTTTGGATTTGCTTATAGCTCTCAATCTTAAAAAAATAACACCTTCTTGGCATTGTAAAAAATTTTAAATCAAGTTTTAAATATTTTTAAAAACATAAAAAGAAATTGTAAATCATGCTTATTTTTTTGAGAAAAGCCTTGATATTATCCTAAAGGCTTTTAAAAGGCATTTAGGTTATCATTTTCGGTGAACTTTAGAATGTTTTATTACCTCTAAGGCCATTGTAAATATGTGAATATAATCTGTTCTGTAGCCCTTCTCATTTATATTAACTTAAGTAACTTTATAGCCTTGTCTTTTTATAGAGCATTTAGCCGTGATACTCTGAGACTCAGGATCTACTTAAGGAAATATTTGTGGTATACCTTATTAATAATAAATATTTAGAAAAAAATGTTTACTCTTTGGAGATGGACTGTTTCAGCAATTTTGTCATTTACGTAAAGAAAAGCATGAACTTCCTTAGTTTGCACTGTGGCAGAGTTAGACATGATCTGGTCTGAGAATGATTTCCGTACTATTTAAAGACTCGATGTCATTTTGAAGCTTGGGATTTAAATACCAGTTTCATCACATATTAGCTGTAACTTCACGTCTTTGAGTTTTGTTTTCTTTTTCTTACGTGAAATTCAGTTCCTGATATAACAAAACGCTACTGCCACCTTGGTGCTAGTCCCCCACTGTATGTTAGGTGTTCCCAGGGAGTCAGGGACTTGGGTGCCCATCCTCAAGGAGCCAGGAGAAGAGATGTGGAAGGCGTGCAGTTCAGAGGTATGTGATTGAAGCCTAACCAGGACACCGTCATCTACAAAACAGGAAGTAAGCATTAGAGAGGCTTCACTGGGGAGTCAATCTGAGATGTGAAAACCAAATCAGTGGTGTTCAGGTATTACTAGAGAAGAGCCATCTAACCTGCAGTGGAAGCTTTCTGACATCACAGCCCATGGCGGAGGCCCATTTGGCCTGTCATTTTGGTAGAAAAATTCTAATCTCCAGCCTGGCCAAGACAGTGAAACCTCGTCTCTACTAAAAATATAAAAATGAGATGGGTATGGTGGTGAGCACCTGTAGTCCAGCTACTTGGGAAGCTAAGGCAGGAGAATTGCTTGAACCAGGGAGGCAGAGGTTGCAGTGAGCCGAGATCGCGCCACTGTACTCCAGTTTGGGTGACAGAGTGAGACTTCATCTCAAAAAAAAAAAAAAATTCTAATCAATATCTAAAATTTAAGTAAAATTTATGTCATTTTATTAGGGAGAATAAATATACACAGAAAACAACTCCAGAACAAGTAGAAGTGCACGCTAAGTTCAAATACTGTGGATATGTGGTTAGTCACTATGGAGTAAGAGTTTTTTGTATGTTGCTTCCAACTGACAACTGCCAGAATTCTAAAACTAAGAGATTTGATGTGAAAGTTTGAACCACCATCTTAATGACAAATGGGTGTTGGGGCATCCCTCATCTTCTGGCAGTAAGGGGCCTGCTTTCCAGCAGGGTGGCAATTGACTGCATTTGAGTAGCAGCTGTTCCCTTTGGATGGAACATGGACCGTCTGCTTTGCTATAAGCCACGCCCCCTCCTTCATTCTGTCTCGTTGCTGTACTTTCTTGACCCGCCTCCAAATCATTTAAATATGCAGTATGAAACTATAGGGCATGAATTTGCCTGGGGGTATTTTTTTCATTTGTTAAACAGTTACTTGATATGTGTCTACTGTGTGCCTACTGTTGGGCACTTGAAATTTAAATTATTGGACAAAACATACAGATCACTGCTCTTCTAGAGATTAAATTCTATAAATAAAAGTAAATCTAGGAAGTAAATAATATAATTTGTTAGTATGTGGTTTATCCCCCAAAATTAATAAAAACGACAGACAAAAGGGAATTGGGAAGGAGATCCCCTTGCACTATTAAGTTGAGATAGTCTGGATATTTATTCATTTAAGCAAAGACATAAAGAAGGGCAGGGATTTGAGCTGCGTATATATCCTGGGAAACATTCCAGGCAGAAAGAGTAGCCTGCAAAAGCCTTAAGACAGGAACTTAGCTTAAGAATTGAATGTAGCTGGAGTGAAGCCAACAGAGGGAATGGTAATATGAAATGAGGTCAGAGGGGCAATAGGACGAGATCACATAGGGCCTTGTAGTCAGACCATCATTTGAAATTTGGATTTACTCTGAGTGAAATGGGGGTTTGAAGCAAAGACTTGAAAATCTATACTATGTTTTAAAATGATCCCTTAGGCTGTTGTGTTGAGAATAGACATAAGAGAGCAAAGAGAAATAGAGAGATCATTTGAGAGGTTCTTGTAATCCAGGTGAGAGATTACGGTGGTTCAGACCACGGTATCCGCACTGGAAAGTGGAGAAATGGTTTGATTCTAGATTTTTTTTTTTTTTTTTTTGAAATTAGAGCCATTGAGATTTCCTGATGGAAATAATCTAGGAGAACAAAAGAGGTCAAAAATGACACTGGTTTTTGGCCTGAGAAATTGGAAGGATGGTATTGCTTTCAATGTCATGATTTCAATTTAGGACCTGTTGAGTGTGATGTGTATTAGACATTTAAGTGGGGATATTTGAAATGTTTGGAGAGAAAATCAGGTCATACTAACTGGCCACTCAGGTGCATAGAGAGACAGGGGTAGAGGGGAAGCAGGAACAGGCAGTGAGAGAGAGAGAGAGAGAGAGAGAGAGACAAGCGCGAGCGAGCAAAGTTTCTATTCCGTGCATGACAGGGAATTGCTGAAAGGTGAGGGAGAGATTGAGGGAGTGTAAGACTGGAGGGTAGGTAGGAGATGGTAGGTAACTTCCTTATTGATGGGGGTATATAAATTGGTAGAATCCTTCCAGAGAACATGGCACGTGGCAAAGTCCTGAAAACCATGCACTTCACTGGACTCAGAAATTCCTCCAAAGAGAGTAATAGCATAAGCATGCAAATATTTATAGTTACGTTCATTGCCATTTTCTTACACTGATCAAAATTAGAGATAATTCAAGAATAGAGGTGGCTAGTTAAATATGTTATGGCGTATCTATACAGTGAAATACCGTGAAAATGTACAGTTGTGTATCTTCACATTGAAGAGATTCGTAATATGTTACTATGGGAAAAAAGAAGTTACAAATCAGTGAATGGTATAGTGCTATATTTTTAGGGGATAATAACAACTATGACTTTAATACTAAGGTTATCTAGATAGGAAGTGATACAGCTAGAATTTGAAACCAAATCATATATGACTTTAAATCCACGGACTCTTCACCTTTACCCTCTGTTTCTTCATAGATCACAGAAATACTCTAAGAAGGATACGTGCCAAAACCCTGAGCCTATGGGTAGTAATACAATGCACATGGATTACTGCTGTTATAAAATGTGTTTTATATGTAGTTCTTGAAATGGTCCTAGGCTAGAGCCAGGGCCCAGTTCAGAATGGAAAGAAGTTTAGAATGTGAGCCAACAGGAACCCTGCACGATGTGGATACTGATTGGATGTGAAGGATGTGGAAGAAGAAGGGAATCTAGAATGACTTGCCAAATTTTGGCCGTGGGTGACTTTAGCATCAAGCAAAAGGAGGACAGACTTAAAAGTCAATTTCTGACACTTTGGGTTAACATGCGTGTGTGAGAGTCGGCTATATGGGTCTGAATTTCAAGGAGCATCCTTCATGGGAGGCACACCTTTGAGATTAGCCTAGAGACTGTCATTGAAGCCATAGAGTGGTTCATATTACACAAGGTGGATGTTTGCAGTAAGAAAGACAGAAAGATATCTCTAGGGATTCCAATATTTAAGTATGGGCCATTGAAGAAGAGCTGCTAAAGGAGGCTAGGAAATAATAGGAGGTAAGAGAAAGTTGAAGGATGTATAGTTTCTCCGAAGCCCAGGCAGGAAGAGTACAGTAAGTAGAAGTTTGGTTAGTAGTGCCAAATGCCTTAGAGAGGCTGAGGAAGGTTAACACTGGACAAAGGTTTTTGAATTTGAAGGTTAATTATGACTTTCTCCAAAGCATTGTCAATGATAATTTATGGAAGAAGCTAGATTGCCAGGGATTGGAGAGTGAAAGAGATTATAGATGATAAAAATTCATCAAAGTAATATTTTTAAGTGGGCCC